GTGGCGGTGACCAGGGCGGTGTAGGCATCCGGCCGGTCGGCATCGCAGAAGGCGGGGAGGCAGGCGCCGTTAGGGCCGGTGACGGCGCTGTCGAAGCGGCCCCAGGAGCGGGGATTGGCCGAGTAGCCGGGGGCAGGCTCCAGGTTGACCAGAGTGACTACCACACCCTCCACCTGCTCATTGGGGGTGAACTTGTCGTTGGCGTAGGCGCGCACCTTGACGAAGCAGCGGCGGCGCTCGGGCACGTCCAGGTTGAACAGACGCCGCTCCCGTATCTCCACGTTGCCCACCAGGAAGACCCGCTCCTCCCGGCGGACCCGCGGGGCGGCCGACCTTTCACGCTGGAATCCGCTCTCCTCTTCCCACAAGCCCGTGTCGGGGTTCAGTGACCACAGCTTCAGGGCCTCCACGTGACCGGCCATTCGGATCTGGCTGGCGGCCACGCGCACGGCCACCGGCCCAGTCTGCAGCTGCTCCCCGGAGCCAGCGGCACGGAGGTCAACGGAGAACATGCCGTAGGTGCGCAGTGGGGCCAGCTCCCCGTCACTGTCCACGAAGCGTAGGTCACTGGGGGCCGCGGCCGCTGAGGTAAGATCTCGAGGGTCCACGAACGTCACCCGGGCCTCCACAGGCCCAGAGTAGGGTTCACCGTCGGCTCTGCGGAAGGCTCCCGGCGGGATGACCAGCTCACCTAAGGGGTCCTCGTCTTCCAGCTCCCCAAGGGATATTGTATTGCTCTGGCTGGCATCTAAGATGACAGGGGCTTTCTTGCGCATGGCCTTGACCTCGTGGTACACGCCAGCACCTCGAGGGTCAAAAGGCAGGACCCTGACAGTGTCCACGAACTGGCCCCTGGGGTCCACAAAAGTAATCACCAGCCTCTGGGTGGAAGGTGGCACCTCGATGGTGAAGTCGCCCTGGTAGGATGTGAAGCCAATGGGCTCCCGGCCCAGGAGGATCTGGGCAAAGCGCAAGGGCTCCCTGGAGTCAGCCGCCACCACACGTCCCCGGATCAGCCCCCGAGGGGGCAGACATTTCTGGCAGCCACACTCAGCCACTATCTTGACTGGGAGGAGAGAGCCAGAGCAGTGGATCTTCCTGCTCTCCAGGCGGCGCACGGAGCAGCAGCGGGAGCCTGTATCCCCACAGCGGGGGCCCGAGCCTGCAGGGCTGGGGCAGAGGGTGTCAGGGCAGAGGCCTACATCCAGGTAGGCAGGGCTGCCGCCTGGCTGAGTGCACTCATCTGGAAGCTTGATGAAGTGTTCTCGGGGCTGGGGGTTGCAGGCTGGCTGGCCTGGGGCTGTGGAGCAAGAAATCAGCCAGATCAGGGTAAAGGGGAGAGCTCCATCAAGGCCAAGGTTGGGGCCTGGTTTGGGGTCAAAGGCTCAAACTGAGGGCTCAGTGGGGGTCTGGAATCAGTCTGAGCAGGTCAGAGATCAGTCTGAAGTTGGGGCTCCATTTGAGGTTGAGTTTTAGCTGGACATAGGGCTCAGTCTGGTGTCAGGGCTTGCTCAGGGTTGGGGGAAGGGTGTGCTGAAGATGCTCACCAAGCACAGTGAGCCGGGCGGTACCCGAGCGCACGGCCCCCGCGTCATTCCACGCTTTGCAGTGGTAGGTGCCTGCCTGGTCTGGGTGAAGCCCATGCAGCTCCAGGTGGGCCCCATACCTGTGCGTTCGCCTGTCCAGCAGGGTCCCATTGTGGAACCTGGATGGTGAATGAACAATACAATGGGTGCCCTTGGCACAAGGGAGGGGCTGTCTCTGTCCCACCCCATATACAACACAGGAGGTTGCAGAGCAGCTCTGGGAAGTCCAGTCCAACCCAAAAGCTAGGCACAACTCTCCTGAGCATGGGGCAGGTCACTCACCAGGAGTATTTCTTGGGCATGGGGGTGCCTGAAGCTTTGCAGCAGAAGGTCACATTCTGGCCAACCTCTCGCACTCGGGACTCGGGGTGCTTCACCAGATAGGGTTTCTCTGGGAGCAGAGGCAACAAAGGTCACAGCCCTGCCCCATCCCAGCTTCTCCCAACAACCCTCCCCAAGAGCAGGGCTCCATCCTTTCCCTTACAGTAATGTCCTATTTCACTTGGGCCTTTTCTGATGAGTCTCCCCCAACTCAAGTTCACCCCACATCTGCTGGAGGCTGTGCTCCTAATGCTTAGTCTTAATGCTTCCCTCTGCAACTCTACGTCTCACCTCGAGTCTTCTCCAAAGACCATTACATCTTATTTCTCACCCCACTGACCTCACTCTGCATCACATCATCCCAAGTGCTTGGTGTCACCCAGAATGTCCTCCCCAGTTCCTCAGCACCCCCATCCCTCTGGCTTGAGGCACTTACCCAGCTTATCAAGGACAACAGTGACCACAGCAGATAGGGAGCTGTTAGCCTGCGCCTGGGCCACGCCTGCAGAGAAACCATCCATTTGGGCACTGACGTTGGCTCGGCTGCTGGCACAGACTCCAGGCATCTGGAAGGTTCCCTGAGCATCGCTAGTGGCCACGACGCCAGGCCAGTCTCTCAGGGAGACCCTGGCTCCTGGCAGCGGACGCCCAGATGGGGTGACCACCGACCCCAGAAGGATGTGGTCGGGGCACCCACAGGTGTTGGGACCACACCCTGGGGGGGACACAGGGAGGCAGAGGAGACTCTTGACCCCCTCCTAGGGAGGGCTTTCCTCTCGATCAGTCACTCCTCAAAGAAACCCAGATATCCTCCCCACTTTGTGCCCCTCAGAGTCTTCAACATGGACCTGCTTGTAGCAGCCCTTATTGTGAGGGGGTCATGGGACTCAGTGGTCAGTGCTGGGCCAAGGGGAGAGAACTAGGGTCCCAGTGTGAAGAAGATGCCCTGGAAGAGAGGCGTCTCACAGGGCAGAGAGTCTCCTTCCGTCAGAGAGAAAATGTTCAGGCAGGGGCTGGGGGCCCAGCAGGGGGCTGGGTCTCGGGCCCAGAACATCTCCCTCCTGTCCCAATCCTGCGGTTTTTCCATAAAATGGAAAATTCCACTGGAAACTTCAGAGCAGAGGCACAGAGAAGGCAGAGCCAAGCAGGGTAGGGTGGGGACCCCACCACCCCATTGGCCACCGTGCTCCCCCACCCTGCCGCGGGCTCTGCTGGGGCAGTGTCCAGACCGTGTTTGTGGAGCCCAGGCCTGATTGGAATTTCCAGTCGCCTCCTGGCTGGCCTGGTGTCTGGCCCTGGGAGGGCCTGGGCATCGTGTCTGCCAGGGTGTGAGCGCGTGTCCGCGTGGGCGTGGGGAACGGGCGGGGCCTGCGAATGCCACGCGTGTGTGCACCCCGAGTGTGTGAGCCAGCTTCTGTGTTTGTCCACGTCCACCGAGACATCTATACACTCCGCCATGCACACAGAGGAAGCGACCTCTCAGATCTGCCCATGCCTGGACACGACCCCCATGGGGTCCACCCGTCCAGATACACACATTTACCAATGGTCCTTCAGGGCCCAGGAGGGAAGCAAAAGCCAGTCTCCATGAGGTGCAAGTTCCCGCCCACCAGGCGCTGCCCCTCCACCCTGGCTCAGCCTCCTCCTTCCAGGCACCTCCCCATCAGGCTCCACCCCAACTAGCTCCTCTAAGTATTCCTCTCAACCAGCCCCGCCCCTACACCTAGGCCCCGCCTATAACCCAATCCTCTCCTCCAGGGCCCGCCCCTCTTACCTGGACACTGAGGCCTCACACATTTCTGCGCCTCCAAGGGACGCCCAGGACACGCATCCCCAGCGGGGCTTGAGCAGCGGCGGCGGCGTAAGCGACGGCCAGGCCCGCAGCTTCCTGAACAGGGACCCCACGGACCCCACGCGCCCCACGTGGCCTCTGCGGAGAGGGCAGGGATGGAGGGGTCAGCTGGCCGCCCACCCCAGGAACTGCACCTCCTGGAAATCTGGTGACAACGTGGGACTGGAGGACGCTTCTGTCGCGAGCATCCGAGGGCCGGTACTCCAGACAGAAGTCCTGCCCACTTCCTACATCAGTGGTCCCCTAGGCGCACCAGTCGAATGTGCAGTTGAGGTACCGCCCCGCCCCCGCCAAGATAAGCCCTGCTGTTCTCCCTGCGGCTCACACACTTCTGGGGATGAAAACACGCCCCCACAAACGGATCTGTCATAGATGTGCAAATGAGGGCAGCGAGAGGGAGATATGTTCCTGGGGGCCCCTTCCTGACCCGGACCTGGGCCTCCGGCCATTCCCAGCCCCTCCTTCCACAGCTCCTCCCCTGTCGGGTCCCGCCCTCTCCTGGGGCCTTGCTCCTAAAGGACGCCACCTTATCCTAGCCACGCCCACATCCGCACGTCCCTGCCCCCTCCCCAGCACCACCCAGTCAGGCCTTATCCACCTATGGCCCTTCCCCGTCGCTCCCTGAGCCCCGCCCTCACCGAGCGGGCAGCGGAAGCGCACGTGGTAGTTGGAGCAGCTGCGGCCCCGAGGCTGCTCGCGGTTGAGGCACCAGAAACCGCGCGTGGGGTTCAAGTGCACGCGCTCGCCGACGGCTGATGGCAGGGCCCAGTCCGTGGTGCGCGCCTCCAGCGCCAGCGGCCGCGGGCACACGCGCGCCGGCCCGTAATAGAAGCGGATCGCAGCCAGGCTCTCGAAGTCTCCGTCGCCCCCCGGGTGGTCAACGTTGAACCAGGATGTCCACTCGCTGGCCTCTGCGGGCACCGCATGGCTGGGACCCGGGCCGCAGTCGGTCGGGCCCCATCAATGCATGCAGGAGCCCTGGCTGCGGCCTGCCCACATGCATCTATATGGTAAGGGCCTAACCTGCTGTTTAAGCCGGGCCTCCCTCCCCACAAAACTGCAGGGGCTTGCCCAGCCCGCCCAGATCCAGGGCCCTCGAGAGCAGAAGGAGATGTAAAGGGATCAAGGGAGATTGGACTCCTGAACTGGCCCATGAGTACACACTGAGGTCTTGCCACTGTCTTACCAACCCCTACTCTCAGAGTTCAGAACTCCTGAGGTGAGGGGGGATATAAAGGCAGCAGGAGAAGCTGGGCCCGAGACCAGCCCTTCCGCTGCCTGGCAGCCCTCTCTTCAGGGCCAGATGGGATCTTGCTCGCTGCCCACTGAACACATCAGGCTACCTCTGTTTCATAGAAGCCATAGGGTAGGAAGATTAGCTTCTGCTTCCATCAACCCCCCAGGGGGTGCTCACTCCTCTTCTAATTCAAGAGCAAGTCAAATAGAACCTTCCTAGCTGGGAAGCTAGAGACTCAGGTTCCAGAACTCCTGCTTCCTTGCCTGAACTAGGCGGGTTGTCCCACCTCCCACCCCACCCCATCCTACCCTGGTTTCCTCCTGGACAAACAATCTGATTCTCACCTCTCGCTCCTAAAACTTAGACCTCTTGGGGCACCACTTCCAGGGGCTGGCATGCCCAGGGACTGTGGCCATCCTGGGCTCTTCAACCTAGCTTGTGTCCCCACCAGCCAGAGCTCACCCAGAGTCCACAGCAGAACCAGGACTCAGATCCTAGTTGACTCACCTTCCCAGTCCTCCAGGGCTGGTGAGGGCTGGCCAGGGCGCAATGATGAACCTTCAAGGCCCCACGCAGTCACTGTGGGCTCCTCTGTGGTGGTGCCTGGGGAAGGGGTGAGGAGTTGGGGGAAGAAAGAGCCCTGATGGGAAATTCTGTGAGCTCCTGTTATACAAGGTGCTTCCATGATCATCCCCATTTCACAGGAGGGAGGCCAGAATCCAGCTCTGGTTGCCCCAAAGAACTACAACCCCCTCTCCTCCAGGAAGCCTCCCTATGACCCCCATCCTCCCACCCCCAGTCTTCCAGATCCCCAGCCCTCCCTCTGACACAGTCCCGACTCCATGGGTTGGGGAAGTCTGTGTCCATTCTGCTCCCATAGACCCAGTTTCCTCCGAGTGTGTTCAATCGCTGAGTTCAGCTGGCTGTAATCTGAATTCCTCATGTTGATCAGAATTTCTCTTCATCTGTTTGCTGGCTGGAAGTCTCTCCCTCTGTCTACCTTGTATCCCAGCACTTGAGGCCCAAGCTGCCAGTGGGAAGTCCTTGGAATCTAGCCTAGCTTCTTTGGCCTTGAGTTACCTGAGATAGCTGGGCTGGGCAATGACCTCAGACAAGTCCCTTTCCTCTTGGAGTCTCAGTCTCCTCATCTGAGAAATGGGCCCAGTTCCCACTCCACTGAGTGATTCAGAGATGGGAATTTCTCTTCTGAGTGGGGTGTATGTGTGTGTATAAGAAAGGGAGGAGTTAGGTGAGAGGGGACAGCTATGATCCCTTGATCCTAGGACCAGGACCAGGACCAGGACCAGGTGATTCAGGATCAAATCTGTGACTGAGATGGACACCTCGAAGTCCCGAGAACCCAGAGGAGCCCCAAGTTCATATTCACACTCCGGATGCCCCTATCATCCCTTGGACGTGGAAAGAGAGCAGATGAGGTCCGCTCCTGCCCCAGGTGGTCCCAGGGCTCCTTCTCTCCGTTGCCCCCTCAATCCACCCCCGGGGCTGGCAAAGGGGATGCAGGCCTGGGGAAGCGAGTGGGTTCCTTGATTCTGTCTCCAGACGCGGCTGCCTGCCAGGCCTTCTGCAAGACGATCGGGCGCCTAGGGGGCTGGTCTGGGGTCTGGGGGAGCCTCACCTCGGGCCCCCGCCAGGTGCGCGGCGGCAACACAGAGGCAGAGCAGTGTCGGCAGTGACGCCATGACCGGGTCCAAAAGTCAGAGGGAGGGTCCCGGCTCCGCTGCGCACTCGGGTCGGACTCCCGCGGGTCTGGCGGCTGCTGGGGCTGAGGATGGGGGAGGGACGCAACCACAGGCCACGCCCCGTCCAGGCCACGCCCCGTCCGAGCAAGGCTCCCTGGCCCGAGGTGACACCTCTCTGAGTCGCCCCCCTCGGTGCGTCCGGCTGTACCTCCGCCCTCAGGCTGGCCTGCGTCCCCTCGTCGCCGGCTGGAAGTCCCTTCCTTAGCCCACCTACCATTCTCCACGTGGGGTCCCAAGCAGCCTACGAGAAGTGCCTCTTGGAATGAAGCCTAAAGCTATCCAAACCTTCACGGTTTAGGCCGCCCTTTAAGGCAGCTAGAAATCCTCCATCGAGTCTAACTTTTATTCTATTGGCTTTACATCCCCGAGCAAGCTGGAAATCCCACCCTGATTCTGCCTTCCATCCTTCTGGCTCGAGTTTTCTCGTAGGCCAGCGGGAAGTCCCATTTTACGTCTACCCTCCATCCCTCCCGCCTTCGGCCACCAGGGAGCTAGCTGGTGGGTTCCTCCTCGAGTTTGCCCACCCCCGCGGCAGACCCTGCTCACAGAGGAGGCTCAGACAAGTTGTTGGTGGTACGTCTGTTTATTGGCGCGTGTCCAAGCCGCGTGGGCGCGGGGCGGGGAGAGTCAAAGCGCAGCGACGCAGTCGGTGCCCGTGTAGCCCGGCAGGCGCAGAGCGAACTTTCGGCGCACGTCATCGGGCACGAACCTGCCGGCCACGAAGTGGTGGCGCCCGGAGAAGCGGCCGGCGCAGCGCTTGGGAGCCGCGAGCGACACGAGCACGTCGGGCCGGAGCCCGTCCTCGGCGTCGCCGCCGGTCTCTGGGTCCCAGCCTGAAGGAGGAAGGATGGGAAGGGGGATCAGGAGCTAGGAGGGGTGCTCGCCCTCAGACAAGAGTTCTGAAGCCCTTCCCCGTCAGACACAGACTCTGCTCTGACACGTGCGTCTTGGTCAGATCTGCCTCCCATAAAACGGAGCCTCTGCCCTCAGACCAGTTTCTCCTCCTTGTTTCTCCGGTCCTCTGACCAGAGGCTCTGCCCTCATACTTTTCTGCCTCTGCTCCCATCGCTGCTACCCAATCTTCCTCCTCCATCTGACTCAGCCTCTGCCTTCAGACTACACCATTTCCACCTGCTACCCTTTTCCAGCCAGACCCGTGCCTCTGCCTTCTGACTGATGTCTGTCCTCATATATCCCTCCCTATCAATCCTGAGCTCTTCCACTTAAACTAGCCTTTTTCCACCCAGACTTCCCAGCCAGCCTCCTCCTTCTGACCAGATCCTACTCTCCACTCAGAGGATAGACTTGTCTCCATTCTCAGGCAAGCCTTCCCATCATTGGGCCACAGCCTCTGCTATTTCTCAAATGAACCTCCTCCTTTAGACTAGGGGCCTTGCCTTCTCTCCTGCCTCTGACCTGTCTTGGGCCACTAACTAAAAGCTACCTCGCTCTGACTTTAATCCTTCCTTCTCTGATACTAGCCTCCACCCTCAGACTAGGGGCCCCTAATAACCCCTTCTGACCTAACAGGGCAACCTTCTCTGTCCTAGGCTACCTGTTCAGACATGAGCCTGCAGCTTCCCCTCCTCAGACCAAGGAGCCCACTCCTCCCTTAGGTACCACCCCCAGCTCTGTGCCATCCTGCTGGTATGACCCTGGGGTCTTGTAAGCCAGAGGATCTCCCCGAGTCTGGTCACCCCCATAGAGGGTCTGACTGGCCAGCAGCTGTTTGTTCCATCTGCCTGTTGCCTAATGGCTCCAACAGGCATGGGGCGGCGGCCAGGATGGGTGAGGCCTTTGCCGAGTGAGCTCACGTCTGCCCAGGCAACCGGGCCAGGATGGGCAGCAGGCACACGGCGCTGGGTGTTGAGGGGAGGGGAACGAGGGTTACCTGGGCGCCAGCCTGGATATTCCCCATCCAAAGGATAGATGTGACCCTCAGCCTCACCCAGAGCGCAGGATCCATTCACACTGGGAAAACTAAGGCTCAGAGTGGGCAGACAGGCTGGGACCACCAGAAGCAGGGTAGAGGGGGCCTCCACCCAAGCCCCCCAGGGCCCTGAAACACCCCCCTCCACCTGGCATGCCTGAGGGAATGTCCAGGCTCACAAGGGGGATGGACAGTAGCTTGAGTGTGGCCAGGGCACGTGTGCAGGGGCCCCCGACCTCGCCTGGCTCCACACCGGGGCCCAGCACGGCATCCACCACCAGCCTGTAGGCGTTGTTGATGAGCTGGACCTGGGATGGGAGGCAGGGTCAGGAGGCAGCCTGGGGTGCTATCCCCTACCTCCCCCCTAGTTGCCACCCGAGCTGACCTCCATGGGCAGATAGGACAGGAAGGGGATGTCCATCTTCTCACACTGAGTAGTCAGGTCCCGGTGCAGTGGGTCCAGGGAGCGTGTAGGGTAGAAGATTGTTGGTTCGTACTCCTGGCGGAAGCGGGAAGGGGTCAGCACTGGGGGCCCTCCCAGGGTCCCCACTGAGCCTCTGACCCCAGATCTGGGTACCAGGCAGCAGACCCTGGCTAGGGAAAGCACTGGGCATATTCTGTAACCTGTCCAGCCTCAACCTCCCCCTGGGACACTATCAAGACATTAAGATGAGAGGGGAGGATATAGCTCAAGTGGTAGAGCACATGCTTAGCATGCACGAAGTCCTGGGATCAATCTTCAGCTTCTCCTCCAAATATAAACAAACAAACAAACCTAATTACTTCCCCTCATAAAACAAACAAACAAACAACAACAACAAGGATGCAGGGACAGGGTAGGGATGTGACCCTGGGAGGCCAAGAGAACCCTTGCTACTCACAAACACCCGCAGGTGCCGGGCACAAACCAGCCCCACTGCCCCATTCTGCTCTGGGCCGCACACCACCAGCACTGTCCTCTGCTTCCGGGAGACAGCAGGCAAAGGGAACACCTGGCAGGGGCACAGCAAAGGCAAAAGCATGGCGCTCGGAACCTCTCCTCACTCCAGTGGTGAAAATGAGGCCAGGAGTAGAGAGAGGAATAGGGCTTGGGCCTGGAGGCGAGGGGGCAGGACAGGAGGAGAGGCACTATGGGTAAGGAGCAGGGCCGAGAGGGGCCTCAGTTTCCTTGCTGGAGACACAGAGTCCTTGCCTCAGGCTCTGCCAAGCAGGAGCAGAAAAACGTGCCTCCTGCCGCTGCTTGCCCCTGGAGTGTGGTTTGTTTATTCTCGGCCCGAGTTACAGACATTCCTCCACCTTTTTCCACTGCAGTGGCTGCCCCTCCCCCGCCCATGCTTCCAGGCCTCGGTCCCTCCTGGAGGCCCCAGAGTTGGGGGGGACAGGGGAGGGGGGTGTTTTTCCAACCCGCCGTGCCCTGTCTCCGTCTGTCCCTCTCCATTGGCCTCTGTCTTCACCTCCCTGCCTTTCTCTGTGTCTCTGTCTTCACTTCTGTGTCTCTCTCTCGGTCTCTGTATCTCTCAGATTCTGTGTCTCTGTCTGTCTCTTTAACGCAGAAGCTAAGGGTCTCAGCCCTACCCTGACTCTCTGCGTGGTCCCCTTCCCCCAGCCTCAGTTCATTTCTATCAGATGGGAGGAAAAATGGCTCCAACAGGCTCATGGGGCCTCTCCCAGGCCCAGGGTGGCTCCAGGGGATCCAACTACACTCTAACCTTTAACCACACAGAGGGAAAGTTATTTCCTTTTTGAGTCTCCACCCCAAGGTTTCGGCAAGGTGCTGACCCACCCTGATCGTACCTATGACCCCACCACACCATGCTCAGAGCCCCAGACCCGAGACCAAGTCAGGGAGAGTGACACTGTCCGGCTGGCTAGGACTGAAGAGCCTCTGGACAGACAAAGCTTTCAGTGCAAAAACCAGACAGCTGGTCACCAGCAGCCAGGCAAGCGTTTACTACACTGAGTTTGCTTTTGTGGCTTGGATTTTCATCATTTTCCTCTCCTTTGAGCATCGCGCTCAGGATATGTTTCACTTGGAAATAGGAACATTTAAGTTAAAAAAAACTGAATCCACATAAAGAAAGATATTGAGGGTTTTTTTTTCAAGCACACAGTGGTAGTAAGAAAAGGAAGGAGGGGGACCAGTGGCACAATGGACAGTGCATCTGACTGTGGATCAGAAAAGGAAGGAGAGGAGGAAAGGGATTACACGCTGGAGCCCTGACTTGATCAGGCACTTTTCTAAGGCATTTGTGTTTACTAATTGGTGTCAGCTTATCCTTTCTTCAGAAGAGGAAACTGAGGCCCTGTGTGGTTTGGCAACACTGGATACTAGTATCTTCAATGCTATTACTCTCCCGTCTCTTGCAGGCACCTCCAGGCCTGGAGGTTTGCTCCAGAGCTGGACATAGCTCTGCTTCCTACACTCTGGGTCAGTGTGCAGACCCCTCCTCACCTCTGGGTCTCAGTTCCCCTACCTGTGGCAGGGAGTTGTTTGGGGGTGCTCAGACTTCGGGGGCTAACGTCCCCTGTGCCCAAGACCCAGGAGGCGGCAGGGGCGGGCAGTCATGTCTCAAGGGTACCAGACTGATCTCTGTGGTGGCCTCCACATCTCCAGAGACCCCAACTCTGTCCTGACCCTCACTGACGTCACTGACCCTCACTGGCCTGGCCCAGTGGTGATCCTCTCTGGACCTCAGTTTCCCCATCTGAGTGATGAGTTGGGGTGGCCCCAAAGAGGGGCTTCTTGAGGGTAAAAATGACCATCCTAGCCATGGGGGTCATGCAGCTAGACCTCTGCTCTGGTGGGCTAACCATCTGGTCGGGGTCAAGGTTGAGGGTCAGGGGTCAGGTACCTTGGTCACAGCCACCGCACTAGCATGGCCGCACCACTCCACCAACTGCTGCCGCCCAAAGCGATAATCCTCCAGCAGCTCCCGCTCCAGGGCGGCTGCCTCCGCCGTGCTGAGGGTCAGAGTGGTGAGAGATGCTCAGTAACACAGAGAGATCGAGAGAAGGACGTAGAGACAAAGACTCAGATGGAGCCAGAAATGTGCCACCAACGTTCCAATCCAGGCCCTGAAGCCCCTCACCCCCGAGCCCCGAGCCGAAGACCCGCTGTCAGTTTCCTCGTCCAGCTTGAGCTCCGTTGAATGGAAACCCGCGCAGACCTCGGAAGTTTTTGAGCACGAGCCTGAGGCGCGGGAGCCCCCTGGTGGTAGAGGAAGCGCAAGACGGCGCAGGTTGGTCCTGCTGCCCTGAAGCATTGGGAAATCAAGCCTGATCCAGAGGCCCCCAGCCCGCAAGGCGGGAGGAACCCAGAAAGGGAAATGGAGCATGAAGGACTTAATTGATGGGGGCGATGCGTGGATTTCAGGCAGTGGAAACCACTGAGCAAGCTCCAGGACACTGGAGGGGGCATACTGGACTAGAGGAACCCAGGGGAGGTGGGTTTTAAAGGCTGCAGAGGAGTTTGATGGCTCACTGAGGGAGGTGGATGAGGGACCTGCCGCTAGGGGACCCATTTGGGGACCCCTTTTCAGGGGCAATGATAAAATTTAAATAATTGTGGCCAGAGAGATGGAGCCAAGTGGTTGAGTGACTGAGGTCCGCCTCATCTCTCTGAGTCTTGCTTCCTCTTTTGCAAAAGTGAAGGCAGAACAGGCTAGATAATTTTTGAGGCCCACTGCAAAATGCAAATGTGAGGCCCCTTGATCAAAAGTTATTAAGAATTTTAAGATGGTGATGGGAGAGCATTAAACCAAATATTGGCCCCTTCTAAGGGCAGGGCCCAAGCTGGCCCTGGCTTAGGAGCCTTCCAAGGGGCATGGGCTTGGGGGCTTAAGAAAGGAAGAGCTGGCACTGAGGATCAGAAGACGTTCCTCACTCCAGAATCAGGGGTTGGAGTAGCTGGGCAGGGCCTGTGGCCTGATGCCAGCTTCACCTAGGCAAGACCCCTTCCAGTTGGGGAACAGCCACCTGCCCCCAGCTCAGCACATACTAGAGTGTAATAATGATGATGATGATGAATAAAAAAAAAAAAAGACCAGGCCCAGAACTGCTGGAAAAACATGCAACTCAGAGAAACAAAATGGCTTGCCCAGAGTCACGCAGCAAGTTGGCAAATTGAGACTTCCACCCCTGGTGTTGGTCTCCAGAGCCATGGATGGGGTGTGAGCAAAGCAGAGGCAGTCCTACAGGTGGCAGAGGTTTGTTGGGATGAAACTTGAGGTTCCTTTTTTCAATTCTGTGAGCAGGAGACCACAACCTTGGCCAATTTTGTGGTGTGACCAGGCCGGGCAGAGGCGGGGTGGAGGTGGGAAGCGAGGGCTGCTGTAGGATGGGGAGTCAGGGAGGGCTTCCTGGAGGAGCTGTCCTAGAGCACTGTGGGAGGTAATCCAGGTGGCAAGAACAGTGAAAGTCAAGGCCCTATGGTACAAATGGACTCAGCAGGTTCAAGGGACAAAAGAGAGGCTGGTGTTGCTAGAGCAGAGTGAGCAAGGCTGAGAAATTTGGTCAGAAAGACACTTCTGGGTCCCACATCAATGTGGGAGATGGAGGCTTAGGCCAAGGTGACATACCTTGTCACCCCAGCGAGCAGAGCCAGATTCAACCCCCTGCTTGTCTGCAGCTGATGTTGCAGGAGGTTGAAGGACCAGGTGGGGAAAAGGAGCTCATGGTGGGGCTAGACGAAGAGCGCTTCCAGGGCAGGCCAGCCCAGCTCTGGGAATGACATCGAAGGTGCTTTGGGAATGTGGCTCATTCCTCCATCTTCATCTTGTGATAGCTCTAGCTGCTGCCCCCACAGGAGGGCTGGGAGAGGATCGTCCCTTCCTCCTGCTCTTCCACTGTTCCAAAGCTTTGTTGGCCTCTGGCCTCCACTTGGAACATTATCTTCCTGCCTTACCGGTCACTGGAGTGAAAACTGTAACTCCACAGGCAGCGGAAGGGCCAGGCTTAGGAGCCTAGGGTGTGGGGGCAGCAGCTGCTCGGGGCGGGGAGCAGGACAGGCAGCGCTGTTGCAGGACTGGGGAGCAGTGCTCAGTTTGTGAGGGTGCCTCTTGTTTCTCCCATCCTCAGTCCCTGGAGGAGAGGAGCTGTGAGGCCCCATGATCTGCCCACCAGCCCTGAGGGCTGAGGTGACTGGGTTTCAAACACAACTGGGCCTAATGCTGGCAAAATGTTCCAGGAGGGGGCTCTTTTGGAGGTGAAGCTCTGATTGAGGCCTGGCTGCCTGTGTGTGACACTTGCTGCTTTCTCAGTTCCACCTGCTTCTCTCCACCCTCATGCCTCTGCCCACCAGCCCTCCATCATTGCTCACCCGGCTGCCTACTGCAGTCTCACACCCCCGAAACTCAACATGAGTTGTGAGGGCTTTGAAAACTTGAACACCAGATGTCACCACCCCCAGCCCAAACCTTCTCATAGATCCTCAGCATTCAGAGAATATTCCTCACTGTACCTGCCTGCTCCCCATTATGTCTCCAACCTCAGCCTCCTCTCCCCGTGTTCCTCTCCTACCCACGACACAGCACCTCATCGCTCCTTAGTTGGCGTTTGAGCCTCCCCTGCCCCCCCAACCCTAGGTGAAGAGTCACAGCTCCAGCTTCTAGAATATTTTCTTCCCCCTGCCTAGGATGTGCTGGGTCTCAAGGCCGAGTCTGGACATTAGCCAGTCACTGCACAGTATCTGCCTTGAGAAGAGGGGCTGAGTGGACAGTGGGCAGGTGGCCACAGCAGGGGCTGTTGGATGTATCTAATTTACTGTGAGGTCTACAGCCCTGCTTTGGGTCCCATGTCACATGGGTTTAGAGGACACAGGAGGACTCAGGACAAGGTGGAAGACACAACCACAGCCACTAGTTCCGGGTCCCAAATTCATCCACCTGCTCGCATGTGCTCCACGTATTTAAATATCACCCTAGCTCAGCCAGTGGCTTCACTCCCCAGGCCTGTTCTCTTCTCTGGACAAGAGATTAGTAGCAGTGGACTACCAAGGAGGGCGTGAGAATTTGAAGAGCTAAAAGAGCTGAGCTCTTTCCAGATGGAGGACCAGGGGCACAGGCTCCAGGGTCCCTGGAAGAGATGGAAAGGGGATGTGGGCCCTGGTTGGGCGGTGGGGTGATGGGGGAGCGGCCAGTGTTGCAATGGGGGAGCGGCCAGTGTTGCTGATGATTTATTCATGAGGGGCGGGCCTGCTGCAGATGCCGTCTCCCTGGAAACGCTGCTTCAGAGGTGCTGGCAGGAGCAGGATTAGTCTCTCCAGCAAAAGGCAGGATGGGCCTGGGATTCTCCCCGACCCCCCATCCTAGCCATGCCTCTGCCTCTGATCTACTACCTCTGGCCCCCCAGGCCCTCCAAGGCCCTCTTCCAGTCATGTTCCTGCCTCCCGTCCCCCTCCCCGGCTGACCTGAGGAAACGCCGCTCCTCTGAGGCCTCCGCTAGGTCTGGACCAGCTGCGCTGCTCATGGCGGAGGTGATCTGATGCGCAGTGGGGCCACAGTCTTTTAAGTGCACCCCTGGGCAGAGGGCGCCTACCCTCTCCTCCCGCCCACCCTGCGTGCCCACCAATCAGGAGACGCCGCGAAGGCGCTGCGCGCAGCCATTGGTTGTAAAGTGCAAGAGGACTTAACCCTTTTGTGCCAGGAATGTAATTACCCTCTGGGACAGCGGGAATCCCAGAGTTGCGGATACTGGAAGGGAAACAAAGTCCAGAGGGGCAGCGATGGGCTGGTTACCCTTGCTATGGGATCCTGGCCTGGGAGCAAGGGGACCTGCCTCTTCTGCTCCCCTTGGCCCCCTACCCACAGGGTACCCTAGTGGAGAAGCCCCCCACCCTCTGCCAAAGGGGTGGAGGTAAAAGTACAAGCATATTTGGTAGATGAAGCTGGAGGGTGATCCAGGGACCATCCCACTGGCAGCTTCTGCCTTGTCCCCACACCTCCAGTGACACCCCCTGGCTGCCCCTCCCAAATCACTCAGTCCCTGGGACACAGGCAGAGCAGTCTCCAGAGCATTTATTCTCTCCCAGTGGGGAGGTGGAGGTCCAGTGGTCTGACGGGAGCAGGCCCCTATGTGTACCATATGAAGCCATAGGTGGCGTTGAGTATCTCCTCCCTTGGGCGTAACCCGTAGAGCTCGCCCATTATGGGGGTCACCCAGCGCGTTGTATGGAACACGGACTCGCCCACCTGTGGAGAGAGTAGGGAACGGGTAGGGGTGCAGCTAACCCCTTAGGCCCATGCAGCCTGCTGGAACCCCACCAGGCCTGATGGCCACAGTGCCCACACCCAAAACTGTTGCCTTCCCTTCTCACATCTGGCACCCACTAGCCCTCAGCCCAAGGTTTTCTGGGGGAGGCTGCGTTTCTGCAGTGGCCTAGATCCCTGCCCTCCCTGCCAAGGACCCACCTTCCAGTCCGGCACATCCTTCATGATGATGGCCTCCTCCTCCAAGTTCTCCCGAAGCATCTGGAGAACCCTGCAGCGAAGAGTGGAAGCTGGGGGACAGGCCTGACCACCTCAAGGGTCCCTTGTCTGGAAACTGACAGACCCGTCCCTGCTCCACCTCCCCATCACCTCCCCCAGCTTTCAACCCTGCACACGCTGACCTCTCTTCTCCTTTCCTATCTTCCTCCCGGCAAACTTATTGCCGTCCTGCCCCAGCCCCAATGCCCCTCCCCTAGAAGCCTTTCCATTCTCCCTTTCGGGTCTCTGCTGCAAGTCAAGTTTAGGGTCGTCTCCCAGGATGACAACGGCCCTTGAAGCCGTGTGCAAGGACACAGCTGCCAGTCCCCATGTGCATTCTGGCCTTGTCTCACGCTGCAGGCTGAAGCACTCAAGCCTGTGACCTCCTGAACCTGGTCCCAGTGGCCCACCTCCGGTCCTTCTCTGCCTGCAACAGAGGCATCAGCGCGATGCGGGCCTCCAAGTCCTCGATCTGCAGGCGCCTGTGAAACCCCAAAACCAACACTCTGATCAGACCAAGGTGGGATGTGGTGGATGGAGATGATGTGGTCGTTGGACACATGTCACTCTGGGAAGGGGTTTGGGAAAGAGGCAAGCAAGTGGGAAGGGCTTAGGTGGTGGGCTCTGCCCACCAGGAGCCCAAGATTGGGGGGAGGGTAACACGCAGCTGGCACAGACGTTGTCAGTCCACAAGACTGCTGGCTTCACATTTTCTTTTCAGTTAAAAACTCTTTTTTTAATTCTAAAAATAGCCCAGGCTTGATGATTGCAGTGAACCAGGAGGGGACGTTCATCATGGGGCTCTGGGCCTTACAAAACCACATCCCTTTCATCTCAAAATAACCATGGGGTGTGAGTAACACAGGCAGCTCCTTTCTCTCCCTGCTTTTTGGCATCTTCCAAGTCACCAGCCCTGTCTGAGCCAGGGGGAGTGGGGAGAACAGTGCTCACTGATATGGCCCAGGGAGTGGCCTCTGGCCCTGTCCCCTCATCACCAGGAATCTCATGGCAGCCCAAGGAAGGGACTAGGTAAACTTCAGTGCCCCCTACCCCCTCCCCATCCCCCAGGGTAGCAGCTCCCTCCAGGCCGCTGCCCCCACCACAGCCCTAGTGTCCAGCACCTAACAGGTGCTCCTGAGTTCACTCAGCAATGCTGAATGCCCTCCATGTGCTGGGCCTCCCCCAGCATTGCCCTCCTGAGGGGAAGCAAGCCCACAGTGGGTGCTAAGGACACACAACACAGAGTGGGACAGGGTGGAAGGGGGCAGGCAGTCAGGAGCCAAGGAGAAGGAGCCACCTAGCAGGGCACTGGGCAAGCTTGGAGGCGGCCAGAGTCTGAGCCAAGGCCACTATAGGCCTGGGTCCCTCAGGCCCTGTTGGGCTGGCACGGCCAATGGCTTGCGTGAACTGATTTTTAAGCCCTTGTATCGTCACTGGTCACCACTGACAAGAACTCGCTAGGAGAGTGAATCCTGGGCCTCTACTTCTGCCCGAGGGACTGCCCTAACCGAGACCCTTGGGCCCCCAGCAGTGGAGGTCAAGGGGCACCTAGTGAACATCTGGTGGCCAGTCATTCCCTGGGGATACAGCCCGGAAACGGACTTGCTGGGTCATGGCCTGTACTCCCTGAGGAGTGCACCCCGAGATACACTAAGTCCATGGGCACATGTCCCCACGCTCCTCAGCAGGGCAGAGCTTACCTGCGTTCGCGGTTCCACCTCGTCATGTTCCAGTACCCGAAGAGCAAGGCCCCAACGCCCACGGCGAACATGCTGTAGCCTGTGGGGAAAGGGGGACGCCGGCTCAGCCCCTGCACGTGGGATATGCCACTTTGCTATTTCCTCTTGTGAGGCATAATCCAGTCACAGTGCAAACGCTCCAGAGACACAAATGAGGGAGAAGGTGGAAGCCCCCACGACCCCCTCCCAGAGATGGCCCGTGCCGTCTCTAGTGCGTGTTTCTTCAGACTACTTTTTCTGTCTCTGTGGACCCCGGCCCCTCTCCCGGACACCCCCTTCCTCCACAGCTTGAGACCACTCTTCATCCCATTCTCCGGCTCTGCAACACCTCTGCCCTGACACCAGGTTCATGCAAGGTATGGGCCAGGCAGGGACTGCAGGGGGGCCTGATGGTCTAATGTTTATGGTTGGGTGGCCCAGGCCCCAGCATCTACTAGAAGGCTGTTTGGTTCCCAGTCAGCCTGCCGGTTCAAGGGGAAGGATGGTGTCCACACTTGGTCCCAGCTCCATGGTGGTCCCGGCTGCCTGGGCCACCTGTGTGTGCTGTCCACAGGGGGCTGGATGGGGCTGCTGGAGGCAGGAAGTGCCCTGCAGGAGCCGCCCAGCCACCCCCTGGGCTCCCAGGGTGCTGCTGCTTCCCGGCCCAGCAGGTTGAACCTCCTTCCCAGGGCTCCAGGAGACAGAGACTAAAATGAATATTTACTGAGCACCCGAGGGGAACCTGTGCTGTAATTCTGACTGACAGGCTGTAGGCCTGCTGGGGTCTTCAAGGAGGTCTGGATGCCAGGGCCTGGCTGGGACTGGCTTGTCCCACACCCCCTCATCTCTCCAGCCTCAGTCTCTTCTCTGCACAGACCTCCTGGTTGCTGGGATGAACTGACAAGTTCAGCCAGGCCGAGCTCCAGTAACACCCAGTAAAGGACCAGCAAGCGGTGGATAAAGCCACTCCCTGGGCCTCATGGGGGTACAAAGTGGGGGCTCTTTCTTCTTCAGCTTGGCTCCGGCAGGAGTCTCATCTGGCACCTCTGCTGGACCCGGAGATAACTGAGAAACTGGTTCAATTTTTTTTTTTAACCCTTTTAGTTCAATCTGTTAAAAGCATGAGCTCCGGGTAAGATACTTCCACATGATGGGGGCTATGGCAGCGAGCACACCCTGGTTCCTGTGCTCAGAGGCAGGACCTCCTGAGAGGCCTACGTGCCCAGGACCCGCTCCCAGTGTACCCAGGGCTCTAAGATGATGGCTGACCACCTGTGCTGGGCACCCAATGTTCTCTTCCTTGGGTGGGAGAGCTTCATCAGAGCTGCCTCACTCTTTTCAACAGCTGCACAGAGGCCCAGGGGCTTCCTCTTCTGATCCAGCCCCAGGGAATAGACCTGGACTGTCCTTGCGAAGGCCTCTGCCCTCAACATCTGGCACCCACATGTGGGCTCATCTCTAAGAGACATTCCAAGGCTGAGGTAAGGCAGCCTTTATGATGATGCAGCTCCAACTCGTCTCTTCCTCGCTAATGGCGGTGAGGCTGAGGCCCAAGGCTCTCAGAGGGTGTCTGTGCTTCCAGAGCTGCCAGTCTGCAGAGAGAGGCCAACGAGGGGCATGCCCAGAAGGGGGCGTGGGCCATGCGTGAAGAAGACCTAAATAAGCAGAAACTCATTTTGTGTTCATGGACTGGGACTTAACATGGTTCAGACAGCAGCACTCTCCAAACTGAGGTATAGGCTCAAGACAGTCCCCATTAGAATCCCAACCTCCCCTCCCAAGTCCTGCAGAAACTGACTGGCAGGTGGTCAAATTTATATGGAAATGCAAGGGACCAGATTAGCCAAAATCATTCTGAAAAAGAAGAACAAAGTTGGAGGACTTGGACTTTACAATTTCAAAACTTATCACGCAGCTGTGTGTACAAGACACTGTGGCATTGGCGTAAGGATAGACATGTACAGCGATGCAACAGAGCTGAGAGTCCAGAAATAAACCCTCAAATTTATGGTCAATTGATTCTGGACAAGGGTGCCAAGACAATTCAATGGGGAAAGAATAGTCTTTTCAGCAAATTAGACAACTGGAATAGCCACATGCAAAAGAACAAAGTGTGCTCCTTCTTCCTCCCCCTCAAAATTAACTCATAATGGTTCAAAGACCTCAATGTAAGAGCAAAAACTATAAAACTCTTAGAAAACAGAGAAGTGAGTCTCTATGACCTTGGATAAGACAAAGGTTTCTTAGATTTGACACCAGAAACACAAGTGACAAAAGAAAAAAACAGATGAACTGGACTTCAGTGAAATTTAAAACTTTTGTGCTGCAAATGATACCATCAAGCTGAAAAGACAATCCACAGGATGGGAGAAAGTATTTGCAAATCACAGATCTGATAAGGGAACAGCATCCAAAATATATAAAGAACTCTTAAAACTCAATAATAAAAAGATGAGCAACTGAATTACAAAAACATGTAAAGGGTCTGAATAGATATTTTTCCCAGGAAGCTATAGAAATGGCCAATAAGCACATGAAAAGATGCTCCACATCATTAGTCACCAGGGAAATGCAAATCAAAACCAGAATAGACACCACCTCACACCTACTAGGATGGCTAAAATTTTCAAAAACAGAAAATAATTTTTAAAAATAAAATAATTAGTGTTGTCCACATGCAGAAATGTTGGAACTCCTATACATTGCAGGTGGGAATGTAAAATGGTACAGCTAATTTGGAAAACAGTTTGGCAGTTCCTCAAAATGTTAAATGTGTTGTTACCATATGACCCAGCAATTCCACTCCACCTAAGAGAAATGAAACACGTTCACAAAGAAACCTGAATACAGGCATATTCACAGCAGCACTGGTCCTAACAGCCAAAAGGTGGACACAATTCAAATGCCCATCAAGTGGTAAATGGATACACAAAATGTGGTCCATCCATACAATATGATTCAGCCATAAAAAAGAATGAAGCACTGAAACATACCACAACATAAACATTAAAAATAAAAACATCATGCTAAGCGAGAAAAGCCAGACCCACAGAGGACACAGTGAATGATCCCATTTATACGAAATGTCCAGAAGACGCCAATCCATAGAGACAGAAAGCAGATGAGTGGCTGTCAGGGGTGGGGGAAAAGAATGTGGAGGGGCTCCTAATGGGGCCTGGATTTCTTTTTGGGGTGATGAAAATGTAAATTTGGATCATGGTGATGGCACAACTGTGAACATACTACCCATCAGTGATCTGTACACATGAAATGGGTGAATTACATGGTATGGTAGGTGAATCTCAATAAAAATGTTAAAAATACAAGAAGAAAAGAAAGGGCCACTCTCTGGGTGTAGGAGTGAATAGAGCTGGGTGTGAGAGATGAAGGGAAAGGTAGGGGTAGCAGATACTTCGGGGGCAGCACGGATAAAAGGTGGCCTGAGTCAGCCTGGCATGTTCTGGGATGCTGGCGGTGAGTGGTCCAGGCAGAATAGGGGAGTGGGTGTCAGGCCTGGGGCAAGCCTAACAAGAGCAAGACTGATTGAGAGGGGGCAGCCGTGGACAAAGCTTTTGTGGCTGTATCTCTAAAGAGGCAAGGCTAGAGGGCCTGCAGGACAGAGGATGAGGGTGGGGTGTAGGAGAGAACACAGGGCCTTTGCATGTGCTGCTCCTCCTGCCTGGGGAAGTCCTTCTCAGAGAGGTCCTTCTGCCCACTCAGGCTAAGGCAGGCCCTGGTTACCCCAGGCCTCACCACTAGCCACAACAGGAAATTATGGAGTGACATGTCTATCTCCTCAGCTGGACCATAAGCCCCCCAGGACAGAGCCCAGCACCAAGTCAACAATAATTACTAAATGCAGGTACATAAACAAAGACTACACATCAGAAGAGGTTATCTTCCTCACTCTTCTGAGGCCAGGAAAGACTGGGGTGAGTCTGTATGTGCTATAATGACAGTTAGTGAAAAGGGCTGTGATTAGGAGACCCAACCCCAGGCAGTGGCATTTAGGGCACACTGGAGGCACTGCTGTGTCATGAACTGGAGGAGGAGCAGGATAAAGGCCACATTTGTGACTTAAAAGAGATGCTAACTGTGGGGAGCCAGGGAGGCCCAGGGGCTGGAATCCTTCTGCAGCCTGTTCTGGATACACGTCACATAAGTATACATTCATAAACAGACCTCATGCCACACACAAGTGTACAAGAGGAGTGCCCTGGCCTGGGTGTAGCTACATTTCGAGAAAAGAAATGGAGACTCAGATCACATTATATTCGTCGACTCCGCTCTAGGATGAGTCAAGTGCCCATGTGGTGCCAAATCTAGTCTGTAACCTGTTTTTGTATGGTCCTCCAGCTAAGAACACTTTTAGGTTTCTAAAGTCTTAAAAAAGCAGCATCAGTGGATAAAAACCACCTGGCAAGCAAAGCATAAAATATTTATCTGGCTCTTTACAGAAAAAGTTTGCCAACCTTTGTTCTGCTTTACAAGAAAGCCAAGCAGGGGCAGGAGAGGATTTTGAGTTTTCACCTCACGTTAACTTTTCTACTGTCTGAATTACAACTTTTTTTAAACCATGCCCACGATTTTTTTTTTTTTGCTTTTTAATTGAGGCATAATTTGCATAACATGTACACATTTTGAATGAAAAATTCGATGAGTTAGAGCAAAGTATTCATAAGTTGTTTCACATTATTTTTTGTATTTCCCTGTTAACCCTGGGTGTAGAGTATGGGCGCCTTTTACTTTCTCTCGTACATTTTTTTGTGTTAAAATTGCTTAAAACGTTACTTAGAACATTCGAAATTTTGAAGAATATATATTCCTTGGACATCCTGTAGGTGGGGGCCACCAGCAAGGAACCACTGTACAGAACATCTTTTAAATTCCCTCAGTGTTCCGGGTTTCGGCCCCAGCTTTGCTCTCGGTGGCCCTGGGAGAAAGTCGCATCCTCTCTTCAGCCTTAGTTTACCGACTTGTGAAATGGCAGCGTGGCGGAAGACTTGGGGTGCGGGCTAAATCAATCTCCATATAAGTTAATTGTAAAATGAGAATTAACGGGACCGACCTCCTGGGCTGTAACAACTAGTAAGCAAAAGGCTTACTAAACGCTTGACAAACTGCAGCAGTTGTCATAACTACTGAAGCTCTCCGAGTCCCCGGGGCTCCGCCTTCCGTCATATCTCAGGGGAAACTGAGGTACACTAGACTCCCCGGCGCTCCGCCCCGCCCGCTGCGGCGCCCAGAAGACCCAGACCCTGACACCCCGGCGCAGGGCGACACTGACCCGACAGTCCCCGACGCGGAAGGTTCCGCTTGTAGTCGATAGGGCTGTAGCCCCCCAGGGGGGGCATGTCCTGCTTCACCTTCGACGTCGCCATGCTTGCAGTACCTTTCCACTTCCGGTCGCGGAAGGAAGTTGCGCACCGACTGTCGCCGCCATGATGAGTGTGGCGGAAGCTGCCGCGCAGATCTCGGACCCGGCTGGGAAACCTAGGGCGCTGGTGCATCCATTATAGTGCGTGGGAGGGTTCTGGTAGTGGGACCTGGGGTCGACTGCGCGGCCCATCTGCGGCGGCAGAGTTCTTATTTCCTCTTCTCCCAGATGGGGCTGGCTCAGTCGGTGTCAACGCCAGCAGTCCGTCTGGTCGCCTAGGTCCTTGCACCAGAAGACTTACTATTCACTTTCCCTCTGGAGCGATGTGCGGGACAGTCGGAAACCCCAAGCTCTGGTGGGAGCCAGGTCTCTACCATTTTCTACTCTCTAAGGAGGCTCTGCGGGCAGTCCAGGGCTCTACAGGGTCATGGCTAGGTACACGAAGTTGGAAGGCGGCTGCTGCTCAGGTTCGGACTCATGAGGAACCGCCCAAATCCCAGGCACGGATTCCACTCCCGGTGGTTGTCGGGACCCCTTGCTAGTCTCCTCTCATCGGGAACTAGACCATCCAGAGCGATTATGAGTCAAAAGCCTTAGGGATTTGGGGGACCCCACCCCGAGGCGGGGGTGACGCCCGCGGCCACTTCACAAGGCAGAAATTGTTACCTGGGCAATAAAAGACACCGCGGCGGCGGGGGCCCGGGAGTGGGCACATGGGGGTGCGGGTGTGCAGGTGCCAAGCACCATGGGTTAGGCCCGAGATCGGAGTCCGGCCGCCCCCCGACAGCAGCCGCCTCCTGCTCCCCACGCGCCCCAGGCGCCACAATGTCGGGCGACAAACTTCTGAGCGAACTCGGCTATAAGCTGGGCCGCACAATAGGCGAGGGCAGTTACTCCAAGGTGAAGGTGGCCACGTCCAAAAAGTACAAGGGCACGGTGGCCATCAAAGTGGTGGACCGGCGGCGCGCGCCGCCCGACTTCGTCAACAAGTTCCTGCCACGGGAGCTGTCCATTCTTCGAGGCGTGCGACACCCGCACATCGTGCACGTCTTCGAGTTCATTGAGGTGTGCAATGGGAAGCTGTACATCGTGATGGAGGCTGCCGCCACCGACCTACTACAGGCCGTGCAGCGAAACGGGCGTATCCCAGGGGGGCAAGCGCGCGACCTCTTCGCGCAGATCGCTGGCGCTGTGCGCTACCTGCACGACCATCACCTAGTGCACCGCGACCTCAAGTGCGAAAACGTGCTGCTGAGCCCTGATGAGCGTCGCGTCAAGCTCACTGACTTTGGCTTTGGCCGTCAGGCGCATGGCTACCCGGATCTGAGCACCACCTATTGTGGCTCGGCCGCCTATGCGTCGCCCGAGGTACTCCTGGGCATTCCCTACGACCCCAAGAAGTACGACGTGTGGAGCCTTGGCGTCGTGCTCTACGTCATGGTCACCGGGTGTATGCCCTTCGACGACTCAGACATCGCAGGCCTGCCCCGGCGCCAGAAGCGCGGCGTTCTCTACCCCGACGGCCTCGAGCTGTCCGAGCGCTGCAAGGCCCTGATCGCCGAGTTGCTGCAGTTCAGTCCGTCGGCCAGGCCCTCCGCGGGCCAAGTAGCGCGCAACGGCTGGCTACGTGCGGGGGACTCCGGCTAAAAGCCGGGGTTCCCACTATTCCCGCCGCCACGAGCACTGCGCAAGCGCAGCGCACGCGCGAGCAGCGCGTTTCTGGAGTGCCGCGAAGCCGCCGCGCACCGCTGCTCACGCGCCCTTCCCCCTTCCCCACTCCCAAGACGCCAGGCGCAGCAGTCGCGTGGCTTTGGAATCTAGCTCCTCCTCCAAGATCCCGAGAGCAGGAGGGCGCATGCGCTTCCTCGATTCCCCCGCGAGAAGACCCCGGGAGGGGGCGGGACGAGAGAAGATGGAAGTATTGCGCCTGCGCGGAATGAGCGGCGGCTACGCGGCGGGCAGTGGCTCCACTGAGAAGCTGCTAGCGAGCGGACGCGGGCAAGGGGCGTCTTTCCCCGGCCAGCTGCGCATGCCGGTGAGGGAAGGTGTGCTCGGGACGCTGCTCCCCTTGGAACCTGCAATAAACGCGCTCTTTCTCGCACCTGGTTCTAGCGATGGCCCCCTTTAACGAAGTGCGGGGGCGGGGGACATCGCTTCCGGGGTAGGGGCAGGAGCCCCATTTTAGAGAAAGGCTTGTGGAGGTTCTTGTTCCAGCTGTGAAAAGGGAGTTGGGAGGTTTCGAACCCGAACCTTGCAGGCTCCCCACCCTGGCGGGCTTTGGAGTCGTCCCTGGGCCTTGTGATGGTCCTGGGAATGTGGGTGCTGGACTAAGGGAGAGAAGACCCCAGCACCCTTCTAGTGTTTAAGGGTGGACCGATGAGGGGCGGAGACCGTCTGCCTCGACAGAAACTGAGCTTTTGCAAGAGAGGAAATTGAGGCCCTCATAGGTATCACTTGCTCAAGAACAGCTGGGATTTGCACCCAGAGATGTCTGAAGTGAGTTGGGGAGGTGGTGGAAGCTCTCCTTAGTGAGGGTCCCTTCTTTGGTGAGGGTAAGTATCTGGTGGGGAGAATCGAGGGTGGGGCATGAATATGCCGGGTTCATTGTGTACTCTGTTTATTAATGCATTTTTTGAGTGCCTTCTGTGTGCCAGGCTCTGGGACTCAGCAGAATGGCTTGAATCCATCCCTGCTTTCAGTGAGGAAGCAAGTCAAAAGTAAAGAATAGTGTAGAAATAAAATAATTGTAAGTTGTGCTAAATGCCAGGTGGGGGTGACCAAGGGGTGGACTGAAGCAACATTTGAGCTGAGCCCAGAAGGAATCAAACACTTGCAAACTGCAGAAAACAAGTGTTCCAAGTGTTCCCAAGGCAGAATGGAGCTGGTGTGTTTGAGGAACGCCAGGAAGCTCTGATGGCTGGAATGGAGAGGGAAAGGAGGTGCAAAGGGAAAGGTGTGTGTCTGGTGCCTGGAAAGGGACCCCACAGGGTCTGGGGGAGATTGGGGGGTTATTGCCTGTGATAAGGTTACTGGGTTTGGTGACAATGGTTGTCATTTGGGGTGTATGGGAAATGCCACCATAAGCGCTTATCCTACCTGCCTCCACTTGAGCCCCACAGTCCCTGAAGAGGGTGGTGGGCAGCTTATGGGTCTGACCATGCCCCACCTCTGCTCACTCACCCTCCATGGCTCTCAGGTGCCAACTCTCCCCTCGCTCCCTTCAAAAAGGCTGTGACCCCAACCCCCTCATTTTGCAGAGGGAGAAACTGAGGCTAAGAGGGGAAATACCTTGCTGCTATTTGGGCTGGTCCATTTCGGAGCTGAGACAGAGAAACCAATCCTGGTTTAGAAGAGCACCTCTCCTGACCAGGGCCATGCCTCAGGCTTCCAACCTGGAGAATGGAAGCAGGAACCCATCCTCAGGGTTGTTGGGAGGGGCTATAGCTCTCTGGAGGACTGTGCCCTTAAGCTTTCTTGAGGCTCTGAACTACACTCAGAATAAAACCCACATCCTTGCCTCTTGCCTCCAAGGTCCAGACACACTATTCTCCTTTGTCCTTGACCTGCCCTGCGTGGTCTCACCTCTGACCCTTTGTGTAGACTGCTCCCATTTCCTGCCCTCTTCCCTTCTCTTCATTCAAGGCTTGGCCTAAAAGGTTACCTCCCCCCACTCCAACACCCTGTTCTTTCTTCCTGTGCCCTTGCCACAAGGTGCGATCCCAATGCTGGAGTGTGACACATGCACTGATTAATCTGTGTAAGCGATGGGCCTGGGGATCCTCCCACCTTATGGCCACAGACTTAAGGCTCAGTTCAGAGGGGACAAGGTCTCAGGGACCAGGGCTTGTGTCCCATTTGTCTGCTGGAGAAGTTGCTTGAGACTCGCCTTTGGTCCATGGGGGAGCCTGTGCCTGATCCAGCAAAGACTCACTTGAGGGCTAACTGGAGCCCCAGAAGTGGGCTTCTCTCAGCCAGTCTCTTGGGGTGTGAGGCTCCAATCAGTGTCACAGGAGCAAGACAGGCTTGGGTTGAATTTCAGTCATGTCTTCTACCAGTTCTGTGCCTTGCCCAGGTGAGACCAAGCTGGCTGTGGCCACTGGCGAGAGCCCTCAGCTCCCAGGCCAGAGGCAGGGATGATGCCCCAATAACATGAAATAACAACAAAAAAAAGCACCTAGGAAAATGGGGTCACATTTTATGCACCTTGGAATTCGTCAGAGTGCTCACAGATCTCATTTTGTGAATAAAACTTGAAAGTGTGTCAACCTCTGAAAAATAAATCTTCACTAGGAATTGTTGATTTCAGAGCCAGCTGGGTAGCTCCCACCTTCTGTGCTTAGAATCTACATCTGCAACATCATGTCCTACAGCAGACCCAGTGCCATGCCAAGCCTGAAAAGCACTCCAGAAAAACCCACCCCTCTGGGACGGAGGCTGGTGATGGCCAGGAGCCAGCCTGAGGGGCAAAACCCACTGGATTTTCAGCCCACTCCCAATGCTGTGGGTAAACAGGCCACAAAGCTCCAGGTTCTGGTGGAGATGGAGGCCCAGAGGCAAGTGTGAGAAAGACTCCATACCTGTGGGAAGTGAGGTCTGAAAGAAGCCCAAAAGCGGGTATCCTATCCTTTGCTTTCCTGTTAACAAAGGTACCTTGTCATACTTTCCCAAGTCTTCAAGCTGCCCCGAAGTGGGGACAAAAACAATGCAGGAAAACCAGGGCGGAGGGGACAAAAGAAAAACACAGCCAACACATCATCCATTTCTTTATTATCCTTCAGATTCTAAAACTTCCTCATGACACAATGTATAGCCATTGATTCCAGTCTGTTTATTGGAACTTCTATCCCGTTCAGTGGCCGACTTTTTTTTTACATTTATTATCAAAGACTTAGAGTCACAATAAATACAAGTGACAACCTCCTCCCCTCAACCAAAACAAACCACCTCCCAAATATCCTACACTAGTGTAACTGTCTAGTACACCTTTGTTAAGGATTATAAAACTTAAGCGGTCCTTTTAAAAAAAAAGCTCAGTCCGAGTTCTTTAGGCAAACACCATGTGCAGCATGACTAGGTATCAAAGAAAAACCCTATGGCAGAGCAGCAAGGACTATCTTTCATTATTTACACCCCTGTGATGAGAATTTATCATATAGAAAACTCCTCCCCATGTCTGCCCATAGGAGAGTGACACGTGGGACACAGGAGCCACAAGACACAGCAGGGGTGTATTGTCGCCTTTCATTCCCTCTGCACTAGAGTGAGCTTTTGCTTCATGTAGGTCTTAGAGCAGACAGGAGCAGAGCCATCCCCGCACCCACCACCTCCCAGAGAAAAGCCACTCTTGACCATATCAAAGGTTTGGGTCCCAACAGCACACATGGGATACTGGGGACTGGACTCCCCACAACATGGTCAGGATGGCCAGAGCCGTGGGCAGCTCCACGTAGACACATTCATCTGTGTGAGCATCCACGTGTACATGCAGGCCCACATACATGTAGCCGTTTCAGAGCTGCTCCCCCCACCGTCAAAATGGGGAAGTAAGCTCAGTGAACCCCACACCCCAGTTCATATAACAGCTGAGGTTCTGAGCAGTTTCCAGTTGCTTTTGGGGGTCCCTATCACACATTACTGGGGATTTACAATCTTCAGTTGGGACTGGGGACTCCCACATTCTCATGGCTCCAGGGAACCAGGTCCTCTCAGCACAGGCTCCCAGAGCTGTGGCTGATTTTGAGGGGTGGGCTTTGGGACTGGGAGAATACCCTTAACGTCCTTCCCAAACCCAGAGGTATTTAACGCCTTTTCTTGTAACATAAATTTCATCACAGAACCACTTCATTTGGGGCTTATCACAGAATTTACAGTGCAAAGGGGAAACTCAAGGGGAAAAAAAGGAGAAGTTTTGAGACAGTAAATGAACTAATAAAGATTAAGGCATCTCACCTTCTTGACCCCTTTTTTAAAAAGCTACATTTACATCACAGCAAGTCCTTCCTATGGGAATGCTTCCAGAAATGCTGGGCTGGAGAAGGCAGAGGCAGGGTCAGAGCCTGGCCATCCTGCCCTCCGCCTGTGATCAGTTTAGACTGATCGACAACCTGGAAAAGTCTGGCCAGGTGAGGTGAGGTGGTTCCTGAGCATGGTGGAGAGTGAGGTTGAGGGAGATGGGGTTGGGAGCCAGCGTGTGTGGCTTGGCTCTGGGCCCTCGAGTTACAGACCCAGTCAATCCCTGTGGGGGTGCAACAATCGTGGTGCACCTCCCAGTGCAGAGGTGACCTTGGCCCAGACACCTGATCCCGACTTGCTGCATAGAACTGAGGTCAGTTTGCCAGGGGAGGCCAGCTGGGCACTCTTTCTTGGAGGATTTGGAAAATCTGGCCCATGTCATTAAACAGACAGAGCTAACAGCTCAGAGTAGTATAAGACAGGTATTTATTTGCCAGGCACACAGAAAAATGCGAGGAATAGAAATGCTTGCATACTCTTGATTTTTTGGTGTAAAAACACACCGTTCCCCACCCCCCTCCTGAAGGTCAATTTCCCTCCTTTCCCCCAATTCCCTGGATCTTGGAATGAAAGCCACCCTTTTCCTGCCCTCCCCTCCTTCAGCCCATCTACGTTATGCACTCAGAACAAAAATCAGTAAGAAACTTAGGTTTTACACAACAAAACATTAGAACGTTTTGCAAAACTAGGTCTTCTGCATGTCAAAAATGCTTTCTAAACACTGATACACAACATGAGAGGGGGGTTAAATGAGCCTTTATTAGAATGTTGCAGCAGTGTAGTCAAAGAATATGGCCCTACAAAATAAGGATTTTAAATTAAGTCCCTAACTGCATGGATAGGAAAACCAGGGCTGGGGCTGAAGTGGGGAGCAGCGTACCCCATCTCCACACGCATGTGTGTGCACATGACACCCTGGCACCTGCACAGAGCTGGCTCGTGTGCAGCACACACATAACAGCTTCTGCCTTTCCTCATGGACTGATTTTCAAGGAGTGGGAGAAAACAAACCAAAACACAACTAAGAGCAGACCTGATCCTTTGTAAGACATTTCTGTAGACTCTAGAGGGTAAAAAAACAAAAACGAAAACAAAAAAACAAAACTCTGAAGGCAAACCCTGGCAGCATGGCCCTGCTTCAAGGGAAGGTTCTAAACTAGACCCGAACATAAACCCTGAAGTCGGTGGGGGGGGCACCTCCCCACCAGGACACACCTGACAGGAGCACAGGCCAGGGTTTAGGACGTTGTCCATCAAAATAAGTAGGAAAAGAAAAGGAAGATATTTAATAAAATAAACCACCACAACAACAAAAAAAACACAACAGCCAGCCCCTCCAACTTCCCACTCAGGCTCTGGATGTTGCTGCCAATTCTCTCTTCCCTCCTCCACTGGTGGCGCACGGCTTCCAGGTTCCCGGGCTCTCTGGCTGGGTCTGGGTTGCAGTTTGTTCTTCTGCTAAGTGTGGAAGGTCGGGGGTCTCCGGGACGAGCAGCAGCAGAGGCCTTCTGCTGGAGCACGGGCTGGGTGGTCTGCGGCCCACCCTCCAAGGCATGGGGGCCGTGCCTGGCAGGGAACCCTGGGTCTGCACGGTTTACATTAAACTCCATCATCATGAGGTGATTAAAAAAAAAATCTGTCAACCTAGAGATTGCCATGAAGGAAGGCAGTCAAAGATTAGGAGGCTAAGATGGGGAAAAGCAAAAACAAAACAGAACGCTCCACTCAACTTCAGAAGCCCCGGGCGCCAGTCTTGCCCGAGCGTGTCACAGTGTCTAGGGTGAGCCGTCCATGGGGGCCGAAGGGGAGCGCCAGGAGCAGAACCAGCCCCCAAGGTCCGCTTTTCTGCTGGTGTTGGGCAAACTAAAGGCAAAGAAAGGAAGAAAGCCCACGGGAAAGGTCCCCCAGTAATAATCCTGGTCCACCTGTGAAGCGGCAACCCCCCAGCCGCGACGAGCCAAGATCGGAGCTCTCACTTCTGCAGCTGGGCCCGCGTTTGCTCGCCCTCTTGGGGAGCAGGGTGTCTTCCCAAGTGGAGGGTGGTGGGGCCAGGTGGGAGGGAGGAGGGAGCCTGTTCTCCACCGGGCCCGGCTCGCACTATTTCCACGTGGCCGACTGGGGGATGGAGCGTGGCGGGATCATGTCCAGGAGGTACTCCCGCTGGCGGTCCACAGCTGAGGAGGTCTTGTGCACTGCCAAGCTTGGGCTGACGAATGCAAGGGCCCCACCTGCAACAGAGCAGAGCAACAGGCCACGACGGCACCAGTCGGAGAAGGCTCCTGGGAGAACCCCAGCCTCAGCTGGGCCAACTGAGCATGGATGGTACAAATCTTATCCTTGAAGCTGAAGAGAGCTTATTAACTCAATTGCCTTTACAATGTTCCCAGCCTCTGCCACAGTAGCCCTACATGTGGGGCAATAATCAGAGATTCCGTCAGCTACCAGAACTATGAAAACTGAGGTGTTAACCGCAGTGCTACTTAAAACAGCAAACAACTACAAATGACTGAACTGTGCAACAGGGCAATCCAGTATGATGGAATACTATATAGCCTTTACAACCTATCTCATCCTCAAAGAGTTTTTTAATGACACGGTAACATTCTCTCATTAAAACATTGAGAAGGACACAGAATGGCAAATACAGCATGATCCCTCTGTAGGACACATCCTGTTTTTTCTTTATTATTTACATGCTGGCCTTTACACACACGTGACATGTGAGTGAAGAGGCAGACCGGGGTGAAGTCCCTGTGTGCAGCAGTTGCTCTCCTGGTGTAGATGACAGCTCCTGCCATTATCCTCTCTCCGTATTGTCCACATCTCCAGTCAACACATAATCACGTTTATACTTGGAAAATGAAGAAATGACCCCACCTCACCCTCCCATCCTCCAACCAGCACACTTAGGTTCTGGGCTGGTCTGGGGGTAAGGACTGCCCTGGAGTCCCAGCTGCAGCAGGGACCAGTCACTGTGTCACCAGAAGTATTTCTGGTGGGTTAATATATTTTGTGGAACAAGTGTTCCAAAGTCAAATGTACCACAGAGCCCTCCCTGTGCATTCAAGGGCAGCACTCCAGAAACCTGCTGGCCAGGTCCTGCCCAGTTTCCCTCAAACTACCATCCAGAAAGCCAGGGTGACCAGGAGTGCTAGCAGAACTCTTCTGAGAAATGCTGTTCTTAAGCCATGACACTTTTACCTCCAATCCTACAAATAGTTGGACACAGCAACTATTTATGCCTTCACATTCCCTTTCAAACATTACCCTTAATGTGCACAATTTTCACACAGTTTTCTATCTATCACTGCGTATACACATGGACACTTGTATTTTACTTGACCCACTTATTTCATATACTTTCAAATTTCCCATGAAAGGAATTTCTGACCCGCTGGGAGTTCTTAGCTATAATCTTAAACATGCTGAGCAAAAGTATCTCTGCCTGGTTTGTTTACAAATGCTCTATGATCTCTGAAGAAGGCAGCTCAAATTCTTCTGAAGTTGGATGAACTTGCCTGAGCTTACTCTCCTCTGCGAGGTCTGATATTTGGGCGTGTTTCTAACTCATGGTCAGCTGCATGCACAGCTGGCTCTGTGTTCTGTTTGCACAGACAGCCCAGCTCTCCCAGTTCTGACTAGTGAGATGGACCTCACAACAGTGCCTCTCCTTCCTACAGGGATGCAGCGACCACGGAGGGCAGGGGAGACAGGACACTCGCTCCACTGAGAGCTCTCTCCCATCTCCTCCTCTCAGCGCTTTGTGCCTACATTTCACTTTTCCGTTTTTGATAGACACAAGAAATATTTAACTTCCATCTTAAGACCAGCAAATAATAAAAAACAGGAAAAATGGTGTGGGGGATGACCCAAGGACAACCCAGGAACAGTGGGGCTGTGGCAGATTGGGGAACAACCACCTAAGGGTCTCCTCTCCCCCAGGCTGCTCCTCAAATGCCAGCTTCTCAGAGGCCTTTGCTGCCCACCTCAATTAAAATCCCAGTTCCCGTCCCAGGGTCCCTCTCCTCCTGCCTGCTTTCTCATTCTATTTTGTACTTTGCACCACCTGACCTGTTCAAGGTAAAGGGCAGGAAGAAGGTTCCCACAAAGCAGGGAATGAAGGACACTGGATAAGCAAGAAATGAAGCTAGTGCACTGAGAAAGATACACTATAACAGCAAAGAGAGGCATTCTCCGCAGCAGAAGGGGTAGGGGGTGAGCTGGCGAAATGAGCATCTATGCTTATAGAGTCCACTGATCTTGGATGGCACTGCCTAAATTGGTTCTGCCACCAGTTTGGGGTCAAGCGCTGAGAGTCTGGGTGTAGAGGGTGGAGACACGAGGGTGATTAGTATTCACACAGGACTACCACTTGCTCAGGAATCCTATTTAGTGAGTAGAAGAGACGAAGCTGAAGAATCAGAGGCAGCTGCTCTCAGGAAGCAGGTCTGTGGGTTCAGGAACCTTTGTGCCATTTCCATTCACTTGTGTGTGTGCACACGTCTTTGTTAAAAATAAGGAAGGGATGGACCCAATCCCAGCAAGGTCCCCGCTCTGAGCCCCATGGGGCTGCCCACCTGTACTCAGGGGCGCCTTCTTCCAGTTGGAGGTGGCGTTGCCTTTGCCGGCGCTCACGGCTCTCTCGGAATGTCTGCCGGTCCTGCTGACAAGGGCTGTGGCCGAGGCTGCATTCTGCAGTTTGGGTGACTGGCTGAAAGTGTGCAGGATGCCTCGGGGCGTTGTGGCCGAGCCCCGGGACAGCTGGCTGGAGGCCTACAGTGGAGAGAGGGTGCAACAGCTCATGTGGGGAAGGGGGCAACAGAGGGCAAGATGCTCAGCGCAGCCTCTCCTTGTTCTGGCTGACCTCTCCCCACCCACACGGGATCCCTAAAGTCCAAAATCAGGAGACTAGGTAAGTTACACCGAGGCGCGGGGGGAAGAAGGAAGAGAGAGAGAGAGACAAACAGACAGACGCAGGCAGCGTGACAGTCGGCGACGGACGTGGTCACGGTCTGGGGCGTGAGGGCTGGTTGATGGCGCGGTGCAGGGGGCTTCCGGCACCGCAGTTCTGACCTGTAGCACAGCCCCGTTACTCCAGTCGCGGGCCTCTCCTGAGCGGAACGCCAACTTACGCCGGGGTTTTATGACCTATACAAATGGGGGTTGAAATCGAGGTCAGCACTGTCCAGAGGCTGGCCTAGGGTGACCTAGAGTGACCAAAGGGCAGCAGCGTGGCTGCATGAGGCCCAGTCCCCACAGGATAGGAATTTCCTGAGGGCAGCACAGCTACCCACTACATAGGGATCTTGAGAAGATGTGTTTATTAGTGAGTTTCAAAATGACTTCCAAGAACACAAAAAAATTGGGGTAGGAAAGCAAAGCAATTAAAAAAAAGCAGCCAAAAAAAACACTTGACTTCAAACTTGCTTCTCTCCTTAATTTAGCTAGAACATTTCTTCCAAACGCCCCTTTGTATCTCAATGTGGCTTTCAGAAAAGTCCTTTTAGACAAGAAGCACTTGTCAGCCGGCACACTGCAAGTGAAAGCTACAAAATCTAAAGAAACTGCAAATTAGTATTTTCACCACCAAATGCCACCATTAAATGCAATTTAGATGCACAGTTAACAACCAGGCAGATGATCGCCGAGTGTGGGAGAGAATGTCAGAACATCTTGCCTGCTAGCGACAACCCCCTGCCAAGGGAATGAGGCCTCTTTCCTGGAAGGCAAGGACGCCCAGCCCATGCTCCCAGGCCACAACTCTGGCCTTGGCCCCTCACCTGCTTCAGCGCGGGGTGTGGGGCGGTGGCAGGCTCAGCCTTGGCCTGCGTGGGGGCAGCGCCCTGCTGCAGGAGGCGCTGCTCGATCTCCTGCTCCTGCTGAAGCGCCTTCACGAAAGCAGCCTTCAGCCGGCTCGTGTGCTCCACCTTGAGGGCCTTCTTCTGGTTGGATGCCATGCAGTTCTCACACATGATGGCACCACCCTTTTCCTCCCGCCAGCGGCACGTGAAGTCCGTCTTGCACTGTGCACACATGTAGGGCTCCCGGGACAGCACAACGGCGGCTGACATCCTGCCTGCTGCAGGGAGAATCGGGTGTGGCTCATGTCAAAGGAACAGTGACATCACAGCCAGAGCCCCTACCACCCTCAAGGTGGGATGCAGATGCAGGTGGAGCAGGGGCAGCATCCTGGGCCATGTGGTTAATGATTGTTCATTCAGCAAACACGTATTGGGTGCCAAATGTGTGCGAACACTGGGCCAGCCTCAGGGAAGCTTTGCTGGCTGAAGCAAGGTTGAAGCACTTTAGAAAACACAGTGGGTTAGGCATCCTTGGTACCAACTCTCAAAGATGTTAGTGCTGTCAGCTTTGGCTTCTCCTGATAGTCTCTCCTACCCACAGTGCAATGTGAGACCTCACAAGCAGCGTTTCCAACCCTTCTGTACTGCATCACCAGTGGAGAGGGAACAAGGACCACTCCAGGCCCCACCCTGTTGTGACAGGCACCCTTACTAGTGGGCAAGTTAACTAAGGACTAGTAGCCTAGGCGAGTGCTCATTCTGACAGGCACTGTGCCTGATGCCCTGTGGGTATCAGGGTGTCCAATTCTCACAAGAAACTCCTGAAACGGTACCCTCACCCCACTGTCCTGGGGAAGAAACCGAGGCCAGAGAGATGAAGTAACCTGTGCACAACCAGTCAGAGTCGGGGCCAGGATGCACACCCAGTGCCCTGGGAGATGGGAACTCGGCATCACCTTAATCAGCCACAGGAGGGGTGACTGGGGAAGCCACAAAAAGCGCCCACTCAGCTATGGGGTCAATATTTTTGCCACTGAATGTGCAATAAGGGGTACCTTTTGCATTTCCCCCCTATCTTTTCTGTGTTCAGCACTCAAGAGTTTAATTGCCTCTTGGTACTATGGACTCTTGGTGCTGAGAGACCTTCAGCCTCCGCATCCCACCTTGGGTCTGCCCGAGCTGCCCGACTGCAGAGAAGCTGCGTGGATCTGACTCTAGATCTGACTTCTAGTCACTAAATAAACAGACAGGATGTCACCTGTCCAAGCCACCCCCAGCTCCAGCCCCAGCCTATAGATAACACACTCTGGTAAGAAGTGTTCTCCTTCTACAAGTCCAGTCCCAGAGGACGTGGTACCTGTGTCCAGTCCACACCAGGCAGCTAAGGCCTGCGTGACCAGTGCCAGAGCAGAGACATCTCAAGCAGGATTCAGAGCCTCCACCCACAGTTAGGTCCTATTTTGGCAAAAGGAGAGAGTGACTGACCCGAGAATGAGAACAAGCAGAGACAGACTGATTTGAGAGAGCAAACGGCCAGCACAGGCAAGTGCAGGAAGGGCGGACCTGGTGTCCTGGCTCGGGCCTCCTGCCTGCCGCACCAGCCTTGCAGCAGCAATTTTGCCAGCTCTACCTCATCACAGAGGAGGCATTAAAGGGATCCAGACACACCCAGGCTGTGTCAGAGCCCACATCCCTTCCTACCGGCCTGGCTCTGAGGCCCTACCATCCCTTGAGACAACCTGACAGGTAGAGTCCACCAGGCCATCCCCTGCCCTAACCAGGTTATGGCCCTGCCGCCTCCTCAGCCCTGAGCATCTGGTAAGATCACTGGCTGCCCAACACATGTCACCACAGCTCAACCCCAGGGTGTAAGGTCTTCAACTCAGCATCTGCTGGAGGCTCCCTAAGGGCCAATCTGGCCCCCCATCTCTGGATCCAATGTCACTTTTGATCACTACACTATACATGCCCTTTTATTCATAAAACCTCCTAACCTACAGGTGTGCTTTCCAAATCGCTTCTAAGGAAGGTAATAAAGTGAACCTGGGGCCGGGGGAGGGTCCAGCTCAGTGGTAGGACGCACGCTCAGCATGCAGAAGGGTCCTGGATTTAATCCCCAGCGCCTCCATTAAAATAAACAAACCCAATCACCTTCCCCTCACAAAGAAACGAAATAAATACAATGAACCTGATCCAGGCACGTGTGTCCCTCTCCCACTTTGGGGACTCAGCACTCAAAGCTCCAGAAAGTTCTATCCTTGCATGATGACCACACACTTACCTGAGAGCCCAGTCTGGAAGTAAAGCCTGCCAGACTCCTGCAGACTTCCTCCTCGCCTCCCTCTGTGGCACACCAACATCACAGGGCCATTGCCACTTGTTCCCCTGGACACACGCTAGGGGTCTCGGGCCTCATCAGGACCCAGCTCTCAGAGGTGGCCAAATCAGAAAGAAGGTGCCTGTGATATGTTTAAAAAACTATCCCAAGCTCATAGTAAGTGAAGAACTGATGACAAAACATCCTTCATAACACATCCCAAAACAGCTGTGAGTACACAGAGGGCGTGCCAACATGTGCCTCACATCAGAAACAACCTACGTGATGGGAACTTCAGAGGCAAGAGATGAAAACAGCCCTAGGCCCAGGGCCTCCTCACCTTGCGTCTCCAGCAGGTTCTGCACCACCTCCTCCAGGCCGACCAGGTAGATGAATTCATTGTTGGCAGCACTGGGCAGGAAGTTCATCTCAGGGGCAGGGGGCTTGGGAGGGGGGATTTCAAGCAGCGTCTTCTCCAGCTGTTTGCGCAGTGCAAGCTTGGCAGCCGCCTGCCGGCTGGCTGGAGAATCAGCAGAGGTGACCACGGAGGCCACGCTGGTGGGGGTGGAGTTGGCCTGAGCAGAGGTGGCTGTCGTCCCTTTCAGCGATGCTGGGGAGGGCTTTTGAGAGACAACAACCTGGGTCAGAGTGCTTGCAGCGCCCACCCTGAGGTGGACTCCAATGCTGCACCCACAGCCCAGGTTGACACCAGTAGCTATGCTAACAAGTCCTTATAAAAGTAACCCCGAGCTGCCTGGGCAGGCTACAGGAAAAGCAGTATTAAACTCATCGCTCTACAAGATGACCAATCTTATAAATACATTTGTTGAGGTCTAGACAATATCTAATAAACCATAACTTTAAAGTCTGTAATTTGCTACGCTTGGCCACCTGAGGACACGCATGAAGCCATCACCATGACCAGGATAGTGGGTACCTCCCAGGCAATTGCCCACGCCCCCGGCCCCACCCAGAGACCCTGGCCACTATCTTGTCACTATGGACTGGCTCTCTTTCTAGCAGAGGTCTGGACGGCCTGCTTTCTCAAAAGGTTGCAATGGTGGCTCACTGTGGCATCAATGGCATTTCCCTCATCTTTGCGTGGCTCTGCCCTTCACCCTTCTTGACCATCACTGCTCCTACATTACTTTATCATCTTCATCTGGACCCCAGTGACTGACCCTTCATCATCTCCTTGCTCCAGGCCACCTGCCCCTCAACACTTTCAAATGCTCTTCCCCAAACCTGCAGCTGACCATGCCAGTGCCCTTAGTTTGTGGGGCTGAGAACTCTTACAGAAATCCAAGAAAAGTTGGGTATACATACCATCCTCCGGAAAATGCACACACCTGACAACCTGTACCTAACACATCATGGGGCTCAAGGAGCCCAGGATACTTTCCTAAGACCCCGTCCAAAGGGTCTCCAGAGCCGAGCAAGACTCCCTGATACAGAGGATGCCATCACAAGCACCTGGGCCTGGCCATTCCGGTCGCTGACCAGCCATTTCTTTCCTTTCCCCCTTGCAGGCTCCCCTGGCCCCACAAGGAGCAGTCACAGGCTCCACTGCTGCCTGCCTGGTTCCTGTCCTCACGGCACAAGAACAGGGTCTGACACACAGCAGGAATTTCATAAGCGTTTATGGAGTGGATGAAACTGCCTACACAGGTCAGTCTTTTGCTCTGTCCAGGATCCTCATTTGGGTGGGAGGACTGGACTTGAACCTGACTTTAGAGGAGGGAAGGACGTTGCCCAGAGCCCTGCTGGCCATGCTCTTATTTGAGAAAGGCAGGCAAGGACGCACCATGCCAAAGGAGGAAGAAACGCTAACTCGCACATCAACAAAAGCCTTTGCAGACCCAGTAATTTTATCTGCCAATGAGGAACTTGCTTCCATCCTGCTACCCCTTGTTCCATCTTCTCTGCTCTGTTGGGTGGTGACAAACCCTTCCATCTCAAAGGCTCTGCAGAGAGGTGAAGGGACACAGAACTAAAAATAGACGCACTGGTGCTGTGAGGACATCTGCAGATGTTCTGCCTGCATGCTTGTGCCTGTAGGCGGGGAGGGCTCCAGTGCACCTCCCCACCCCAAGCAGGTTCTCCAGGTCCATCGGACACCTCACCTGGCCTCATCTATCCCCTAAAACCTGCTGTGTCCCACAGGCCAACTCTCCCCACCCTTCAACCTTCCCATATCTCAGCGCACCCTGAAATGTGCACCCCTCACCCTCTCAGCAGCTATCCAGCTCCGCTGGATGGTAGGTAGGAATACAAGACTCCTGCTCATGACATTCACGTCCCAAAAGGCTCCAAGGAGCTACAGTACAAACTTCTATGGGGCTGGATTATCCAAGGCCTTGCCTGGCCCCCAGGGAGAAGGCAGGTCACACACCACGGAGACATGACTATGTCCCAGGACTGCAGGCCATCACAGGGGTAGCTGCACACATACGCAACCCTCACCTGTGGGATGTTAACGAGCAGACTAGTGTTGGGGACATTGGCGACGCGGATGAGGCCCTGCTGGATGATCCTCTGTCCCTGAATTTGCACACTGGGCACCGATGCCCGGGGAGCCAGGAGGAGTGGCGGTGGCCCCGTGCTGGAATGTTGTCTGATGTTGTGGATTTGCTGTCAGGGTGTGGTGGGGAGATAAAACGGTAAGAGGGATGACAGAAGAAGGCACAGAGAAAAGGTTCCCAAACAGAGGACTGGGTAAGGTCTCTCTCGAAGGTGGATGGTTGCTTGGGGCTGCCTAGATGCACCCCTGCTCCTTAAGCACTTGCTCTGCTCACCTGGGCCCCCCTGACGAGCGGGGGCATGACGACCTGTGAGCTCGTCTGGGGCCCTAACTTCGAGGATGTCTGCTGCCCGCCACGGACCAGGGGTGGTGGGATGACACTGCCAGGCATCCGAGTTGAAGAGGTCTGTCAACAACACCAACTCTCAGATCTTACATGGTTTTTTAAACAAACAGGTTTGCTGTTTTTATAAAAGTACATGCTCATTACTAAAAAGAAAAAGTAAGGCTGTAGAGAAAACAAAAGCTAAAATGCGTATTCTAAACACGAAAGAACCAGGAACACAGATTTTGGCAAGAGCCATGCAAACCTGGGCTCACTCAGGTCACGGTCCTACCACAGCAAGTCTAGCTAACCAGGACAGTACAACCTGCCTGGTATGAGCTGGGGGTTCGGGCCTGTTTGAAGGGAGGTGGGCCACGGCCAGAGCTCTGTCCTACAGCCAGGAGCAGGAGCTCTGCATCTCACCCTGTGGCCAGAGGAGGCAGTGAGCTGTGCTGGGACAAGGCCCATTGGGCCCCACAACTGCCCTCAGGGAGTCGAGCTGAAGGAAACCTAGTATGCCTAGGATCTTGGTCCTCTCTCTAGCTTCACTAGGGACAGCAATGGGAGGGGCACTCAGAGCTTATGCATGATTTGTTTAAGATGTCAATGGGGTTTGGGTGTGGGAACATAAATATGCTTTATTTTGGGGGCTGCGGCTGGAAGACTTCATTTCAGTCTAATCAGAAGGGGTGGCCTTTTGCAGAAACTGGATCAGGACTGCTCAGGAGGGATGCAGAGGGAACACTGACCTGAAGCGATGGCTTGCTGGAAGGAATGTTCTGGGTGCCCCGTACAAGCGGGGGAGGGGTGGTCACGGAGCTCCCAGTGGAGCCTGCGGGCTGCAAGAGAACAGAACACAAGAGAAATGAGAGGGCCACCAACCCTGCTCCTCCCACACGTAATACTGGCAGAGGAGCATTGCTTTTTCTCCTCTTCCAAAGGCATCAGGCTCTCAAAGATTCTGCTTCCCACCCGCCAAGTTCATTGCAGCAGGAATTGACATGTTTGGAAAAGGCAAAGAAGAGATTTTCCAGCACCCCTTACCCGCCCCCCTCAAAGGGACTTGGTATCACCGTGGTCCAGGTGCCATCTCTGCCCTCTAGGGGACAGGAAAGGCTGGCTGGTTGTGGCTGTGGCTGAATTAAGGACCCAGGTCTGGATAGGTTAATCCCAACCTTAGTGAGAAAATGCTGGCACTTCTTAAAGTCACATATGCCACTAGAGGAGGAAGAGTAACAGACTCGGTCACCTCACCAAGTCTTAAGCAACTGACAAGGAAACAAGTACTGAGCAGGCTCTATCCATCAGGATATTAACAGATGCCAGACTTTGTCCATTTGTTTACTAGGTGCACGTGGGAGCTCAAGCAAATCCCCAAGTCAGACCAGTAAGTGTCCTCCTGTCTTGCTCCCTTAAGGGAACATGCATTCTACACACTGTCAACTTGTACTGCCCAAGATGCTTTTACTTTCTGATTTACTGAGAGAGTGGTTTTCTAGAATATAAGAAAGGGTAGCTTCATCACTGTCCAGGAATCTTCCCAGAATGAGCACCAAAAAACCCCAACAAAACAAACTTGACCTTCCCTACCTAGTAAGCTACATTTAAGAGCAGCATAAGGAGCCTGAGGCATCAAGAGAGGTGACAGGAGCAGAAGCCCCAAGACAGGGCCTCTGGGGCAGTGCTATGGTGCACCCTGTGGTATTCGGCAATCTGTCCACAAAACCACAGCAGCCCTTGCTGGACAGCACAGCCATCCAGAGGGCAGGAGGCCTTTCTGGAAATGGGCTCAAGACAGAGCTCTTAATCCCAGAAATGTGCTTCCAACACCTTCAAAGACATCTGCTCTCCATTTCCTTGACTGTTTTAGTCCACAGGGAGTTGAGCTTTATATACTCAGATCTGGAATATTCTAGACCGAAATGTACTCTGATATCCACTTAGCTAAATCCAAAACATGAATTGAGCTTGCAAATTTCCATTTCAGACTTTAACCCTCACGCCCCTGAGGAAACCTGACCGCTCATAACCAGTCTTTACGTCCCTGGTTCTAAACGGCTGACCCTCGAGGTGGGAACAGACGCACACATACCTTCTGTGTGGTGGTTTCCTTTTGTATTTGACTCTGCCGCAACTTTTTCAATAAAACGAGTTTTGCTTCTTCTAATCTTAACTCTTCTTTCAGTTGCTTAATCATCCTTTCTCGTTCTTCAGGACTGCTTTTCTACAAGGGCAAGAGAACAAGGGATGAGGGGGGAGGCTGGGGGCCAGGGAACACAGGCCCCACTGTCACCAGCTCCACTGCGGGGTCATTCAAGGCTCATTCAGGGTCAGTAAGGCTCACCATGAGGGCCTCGGTGCTGGTCTCCTTCAAGGTCTCCTTCGTCAGCCCATTCACCCTTGGGCTCGCAGGTTGCTCGTTGTCAGAAAGCACGATCACGTCGGGCGAAGGGGCTCTCCTTTCCGACTTCATGTCGCTGTGGAGCCGGGACAGCAGGTTGTTACCAGAGTGCCCAGATTGTGCTGGACAGCGTTTCCAAGAGCTCCACACCCACACCCCACAGATGCCTGGATTCAGACACAAACACAGCATGGTGGCGGCAAGCAGGGCTGCCTCGCCCAACCTCCCTACCACATGCCAGCCCAGGCTGCCTTCTCCCACCACACTCACCATGTGACACCCAAACCTGCCAGTGGGTGGCTGAGCCCCTCAAACACTGGGACTGTTCTAGGTGCCCACTTCTGCATCCCGAGGGTTGAAGACGCCCTTGTGTCTAAAAGTGACAGTGTCATTTTGGAAAACACCACAGCTCCTTCCTTTACAATGTGGCTCAACACTGAATAAAAACATTCAGTCCTGGATGGGCCTGCTGCTGGGGCTCCTACCTGCCCATGTTGGAAGCCACCTGATGGGGAGTCTGGCTCCCATATGAATCAGCCTTCTTCGCTCAACTCGGTCTCACTGACAGCCCACCTGCCCCCAGGAGATGGAAGGGCTGATACACATGCTGTTGGTCTACAGTCTAGCTCCTGGACATGGGGTGTCACCACCTCCCAAGGTGGCCAAGGCTGCCTGATGGATCCTGCCAGTGGCAACGTGGCAGTAGTGGCTGCATGTTCTGAAACTGACTAAAACACAAAATACATTTTTCTCTCACAGATCTGGGTACTTTCCACTCAACTGATCTGCTCACAGACTAGTTCCCAGCCACCCCTACCCATCACCCTCTTGCCCTCTTACTCTTACCTCAATCCTACCACCCAAGTCCCCTAGGACATATATGCAGATCTAGTGCTACAGGGCTTCTGCTATGGTGTTGCTGTCCTTGCACATGAGGACCATTGGGTCCCAGAGATGGTGCTTCACCCCCAAGCATTTCCATTTGCTGAGAGCACAATGTAAAATTTCCATTAAGATCTGGCCTCTGCATTTGTGTTGAAGGAATTAAATCCTTCTTTCCATCAGGAGGAAAACCTGCCAAGAACTGATTGTGTCCACTAGGTGGCACTGTAACACAGAGAACAAACTCGATAAAGTTTAACTGGGAGTAACAGCTCAAAGTTGTCCCACCCCTTCCACTATAACCCAGCTGAGCGGGGACAGAGTTATAGATGGAAAATTGGTATTTTAACAGTACAATGAATTGCCTTTTCCATTCCTGGAGTGAGCTGTGTCTTCAACGAAGGATGGGCACAGAGGATCAGATGCTGACAGTTCACTGACTCCCCCAGCCCCTCCTAATCCCACCTCCCAGAGTTGCATGGCTGCTGCACCTCAACACTCCAAGTCCTGATCCGATTTAACCAGCACAGCTGCTGAATGGTCTCTTACAAGAGACCAGGAGAGTGGACAAATAGGCTTCCATTTCAAGGTATAGAATCCCTTCACTAGGGTTATCAGTCTGCATTCTCAAGTCCACAAACTGGCTGGCTGTCTATAAAGTAACTCAGGATGCCTCACTAGGGCCTCCTCAAACTAAAAACCAATGCAATGTGGGAACCACCACTCTTTCAAGCCTGCATGTCTCCCTGCTGACTGCCAACTCTGCCCCAAAATCAACTTTAAAGATGACCTCAGGGCTCCAATTCCAAGTTCTCCAGACCCACACCCAGACACTGAGCAGACATATGGATATGGCTCCAGCACAGGAGTTGCAGCCACTGGTCCCAGCCCAGCGGGGCTCCCAGGAGGCTGCACACAGGCAGAATCACGTCTAGAGTTACAGACTGGAGGCATTTCCCGAGCAAAAGCACACTGAGACAACAGTAATCTACAGGGATTTATCACTTTTTATTATCTCACTGAGGACATGCACATCTTCCAAAGGTGAGATGTCTAATAAAGCTCAAATGTGCCTGAGGGAAGCAGGGAGGGTTAGGGACTGAGACCATCTGGAGGCTGAAGCTCCCTGAGATGGCCACTCTGACCACAGCACTCCTAGGTCCCATCTTGGACTGAGACTAATCAATAACTCTTCCAAGAGATGACATCACCTCCCATCAGTGATCACTCAGCATCCCAGCAGCCAGCAGGGAGTGAACTTCCTGTATGCTAATCAGGGCACCAAAAAGTCATGTGACAAAGGCATTTCCCTCTTTGGTCATGTGACCCTTTAACTGTGCCTTCCAACGTGAAAACCATGGCAACAGCCAGTTCTAACCAGTTTGTGACACGCAGACTTCATTTTGAGAAGTGAGGTAGGGTTCAGGTGCTGTCAGAAAATGGAGGCACCCAGATCACCCTGGGGCTGCCAGGCTGCAGGCACTTCCTGTGTGGTGCCGGCCCACAGGAGACCTTTCCTGTGTTACTGGGACCTAGGACACCTCTTCTAAAAACAGAAGGGCCACCAGCCCTACTAGTTTCCAACACAAAAAACTTTCCTACACTCAATTTTTAAAGCAAAGGTGCTTCAAGTCTCTCAGTACTTTCCCAGTACTGAGTTCTTTTAATTCAGGAAAAAAAAATACCCACTTGACAAAGGCTCAAAATTATCATGGGCATTCTTTTTTAAAAAGCGTTTTAAATTATAAAACCATTTAGGCCAGAAGAATAAAGCAGAGGAAATTTAGCCCAATATGCCAGGGGAACAGTGTCACGGCCAGGTGCCCAGGCACCAAGTTTATTTGGAAGTTATCTGATTTCAGGGCAAATCTGACAAGCCCATCATGCCCACCTTGGGAACCCTTATGTAAAATACAATCAGAAGAGATTTTACGTGACCAATGAAAATCCCTGGAAGCAGGCCAGGCTGTTAGCAAAAAAAAAAAGTCTCACTACCTCCTCCCCTGTATGCCGGCTGTGGCTAAACACCGAAGTTCTGTTACCTGCCAGGAACTTCCATCAAGTTTCCTGGAGAGAAGGCAGGGACTATAAACTTAACTCATGACTAGATCCCTCACCCACAGCACCAGACTACTACCCCAGTTGCTTACCAATTAATGGCCAGTGCAAGGTTAATATTTAGTGTCCCCCTGGCCCGTGCCAGAGGAAGCGGTTTCATTCAAGGAAAAGAAGATCTGACCTTTGTCATTCTCTGTACGGGCCTGCCTGATGTCCAGGGAAGGCACAGTTGATCCACACTCATTCATTTCTTCGCTCACTCCTATTTGTTGAAAACTAACCTAAGGGGCAGGTGTTGTGCCAGGATGTGGGGAGAAACCCCTGGATAAAAGCAGTTCTGTCCTTAGGGTCCACCAGGAGGGACAGATGCAAAGCCAGGAGAAAGAGGCGCAGGTGGGGTATGTCCACAGGTAAGAATGGACCACCACCCACCTCAGCCCCCAGAGCAAAATGGTAGCTTCACCGGGGCGCCTTACTGCCCCAGACCTGCTGGATCAAAGCCTGCATTTTTATAAGATCCCTGAGATTTCTGCACACACATTGGAGAAGTCTGGGATGACTGTGGGCCCAATGAGGCCTCAGGATAACAAATTCCTCCTCAGGTCTGACCCAGCAAGACAAGCAGGGCTGGGGCCAACTACTCCCTCTCAGAACCCTCCCTCATCCACTCATCTTTAGGGGCTGGTTGGGCGGGGAGAGGCAGGTGGTTGCTAGCTGTGTTTAAAGATGGGGTGAGGGGCTTTGCCAGACCCAGCATCAGTCTCACCAGCTCCTACAAACACTAGCCTTGGCCCCACCAGACCCTCCCCCAAGACTCTCCTCCCACTGGAGCCTGTTCACACCTCCCAGGCCCAAGCTCCTGCTCATACGTATGTCCTGCTGTGGGCTCTACCCGCCCTCACCACCATTCCCTCCATCACACTCTCCAGTCTCCCTTGTGAGCTCCAACTCACACTTCAAGACGCACTTCAAACCATCTGTGCCCTTAGAAAAGTCCCTGGCTGACCCAGCCCCCTGACGCCAGCCCTGGGAGCATAGTCAGCACTACTCCACTGCACTCACGGGACTGGCCCCGCAAAACAGCGCATCTGAGGGACCTTCCTAGCCCTAGCTCCAACTGCCCACCCTGGGGGCAGGGAGCTCAAGGCAGAACTTAGGGTTTCCTCTCAAGGGCAGCGCGAGCCTGAGCAGAGGCACCCCTCCCACCAGCAACCAGCTCACTCACCCTCACCCCAGTAAGCTCATCCAAGGAAAGTGCCTTCACTTCCTATAAGGCATAATCATGGTGGCCTTGTGCCAGATCAGCTCACCCTCTCACAGCCTCCCAGGGTGATGCTGTCATTGCCCATTTGGCAAGCAGTTTCCCCCATCCTAAGCAGGGGTCATCACAGGCGCAGCAGCCAGGGACCCATTGTCCCACTTGGGGTCTATTTCCACGAAGCCAGGGAACTGCAGCTCCTAGTAAAGGCCAGAATGTTTCCAGGGTGGCCCAGCAATCAAAGGGCAAAGAGAGAGGTCCAGCTCTGATGTGACTCCACAACCCACAAAAAAGGCTGAGGCTCCCTAATTCCTCAAAGCCAAAGAGGCAGGAATTTCCTCCTGGTGCCATGCTGGGTGGGAGACAAGTCATAGGGCCCCCTCCCAGAGAAGGTTCTGTACACACACTGAGGGGTGGGGGGTGATGTCACACTCCCACAAATCCAGGTCTTACTTGGTTCTGCCTCTCTCAAGTGAAAAGCCCAGGGCAGGACACTTCCCTCTCTGTGCCTCCTACAAGTATAGGGATAGTCACTCCTGCCCTGCTGCCCCTCAGGGTTGCTGGGTGAGGTGAGACCTCGGTGCCAAGGAGGCTCAGACACCCTAGGAGGCCATCAGGGCAGTTCAGGACCTAAGCTTTCCTAAAGCAGTAGGGAGCTGCTGGCTGTCAATGTGAACTTGACATGTAGCCATCAATCTGCTGCCAAGAGTAACACCTGAATATTCTCAAACCCACCAGTGAAGACAGGGATTGTGGTTGCTCTATGGGTGCTCAGGAGACACAATTGGTATGCACCTACCCCCTCCTCTTCCCTGCACCTGGCTCCAGGATGGGGTCTGTGAGTTCGTGAGGAATCTGCAATGCCCGTAGACTGACTG